GAGGACCTCCTGCCCGCAGGGAGCTCTCTCATCAGCCCAGTTCAGAGGCCAGTGCCTGCTGGGCAGAGCAGGCTGGCCCTGCACAGAAAATGCAGCCTCCGCGCTCTCGGGACAGGCCATGCTCTTAGTACCTTCCATGCTCTCATCTCTTCCTGTGCCCCTCTAGGCCTGACCATGCTGGTGGACTCCTGTTACTTGGGGTAAAATCCGGGGGTCATTTGAAAGCCTTTCATTGAGGTTTGGAGACGGGTGTTGCTGGCTCCGGCTTAGCAGACCGGGGCGGGTGAAGCATTTCAGCAGGCATCCAGCTGGAGCCCAGGGCTGGAAAGCGAGCTCCCCCTCCTCTCTGGGTGACACCGTCCAGCCCTTGGTGCCCCGCTCCCGCCCCGGGGGCTGTGTTCGAGCAGCTGCTGGTCTCCTGGGAGCAGGGCTGCTTTTTCTCGTCTTCCTGTGCCTCCCTCTCCTCCCCTTCCCTTCCTTCCCCATCTTCCCTCCTCCTCCCTTCTTAGCCTTTCTTCGGCAGTGCCCTGCCTGGTCTGTTTCTCACTGGACTGGAGGCTGCTGTTTTTTCCCGGCACCCACGTCTGGGGAGGAGTCCCCTCTGGCGGGCATCTGCTCTCGTGCATGGCAGGGAGTTGGTAAGGGAGTGGCGGGGGGACTGGGGCCATCCATCCACCTGTGCCCAGGGCCTGTGCTGTTCTGAACCCCCGGCCTCTGACAGTGAGGGCTCCCCTCACACAGCACCAGGATTGCTGCGTGGCTGGACTTGGCTGCCCTCTCTACAGAAGCTCCAGGGTACAGGAAGGCTCGTCACAGCCGAGTCCCAGACCAGGTCATCTGATCTGACCTTTGAGCCCGTAGCCCTGTCCATCCTGTTGGCCAGAGTCTCTTACCTGTATCTGTTTGGCAAACCAGGTTTTTTTCTGCTGGGGGATCTGCTTGGAGCAGGCTACAGCCGGAGGGACCTGGGAGGACTCAGCTGCTGGTCCCTGGTTGTCAGAGCCTGGGGGTGCGCAGTCCTGGGGTGGCCCCAGCCAGCAAGGAGGGGCGTGGCCTCTCCTGTGCACTCAGATGTGCTTGTTGTGAACTCCACTGAGGACTCTGCCCTGTGCCTGGTGTTCCCTTCCCTTCTGCACTTGGGAGACACGGTCACTGGGGACTCCTGTGATGTGACCGGGTGACGGGTTGAGGCCCAGGGCTTGCCCGGGCTCATGCCGCGTCTGCTTGCTTGCCATTTCCACAGTAGAGAGAGGAGACTCAGCAGTTTGGCTCAGGCCTCTCCTTGCCTTCTGCCTCTGGTTTCTTTGACCCCCTGGCCTGGTGTGTGCGCCCTTTGGGGCCTGGGCCCAGACATCCTGCCACAGGTGCTTGCCCATGGACTGGACATCAGTCCTTCTCCAGTTCCAGTGATCGGGTGCTGCGTACCAAGGTTCTCCTCTGCATTTCTTCAGAGGTCACAGGGGAGCGTGGTTTTTCCTTCGAGAAAGAAACATTGGTGAGGTTGTCATGGTAACCTGGGGGGCGGGAATGCCCTTCGTTCAAGCAGGCGCCGGAGCCTGAGTGGAGGATCGGAAACGATTGAGAATACTTACAGCTTATCAGCTCACAGCACGGGTGGCTCTAAACCGCAGCCTGTGTGTCTTAGGACGGCTTATGGGGTCCAGTCTGTATGACTTGGGACCACACTTGCAGCGGCCGGTTGGTCCCGTATGTTTATAAGAGACAGAACGTGGAGATTAGGACATCTTCCCTCCGCCCAAGAGATGGACAGGGTAACCAGGTAACTGCAGCAGCTGTTTTTCTTTTTTTAAGGATTTATTTGAAAGGCAGAGTTACACAGAGAGGAGAGGCAGAGAGAGAGTGAGAGAGGTCTTCATCTGCTGGTTCACTCCCCAGTTGGCTGCAATGGCTGGAGCTGTGCCGATCCGAAGGCAGGAGCCAGGAGCTTCTTCCAGGTCTCCCACGTGGGTGCAGGGGCCCAAAGGCTCGGGCCATCTTCTACTGCTTTCCCAGGCCACAGCAGAGAGCTGGATCGGAAGAGGGGCAGCTGGGACTTGAACCAGTGCTCATATGGGATGCCGGCACTGCAAGTGGTGGCTTTAACCGCTATGCCACAATGGCGGCCCCACAAGCAGCTGCTTTTCACGGTTGCGTCGGGGGTCTCGCTTTCCTTTGTCTCTGGTCGTGGCCTATTTCCTCTTCAAGGTGTCCTGTGTCAGTCGCAGCCTCTGCACAGGTGCCCTGTGCTGCTGCAGTGGCGTGGCTCTGGAGCAGGTGTCTCAGTGGACAGGGAGGGCCAGCCGCCTGCTCGCCCTACCTCTTGCCTCTGGGCCGGCCTCCGGAGGAGTAGCCCAGATTAGGGCTGGGGGAGTGGAGAAGCGCTGCTCTGGGGTGTCGTGGGGGTGGGGAGGGAGGGACGGCCGCTCTGCACTGAGCTCAGGCTGGCTCACGGCCGTGTGGGCCCAGGGCCAGAGCCACATTCGCTTTACTTGCTGGTGACCTCCCCAAGCTGAGGAAGTACATATCCAGACATCACGGGGTAGGTAGGCTCCAGAGCGGACCTGTGCCAGCAGAGGGGGCGTGGCTCTCACTGGGGCTCATCACGGCCAGACGGCCATACATGGTCACTGCAGCCCGTGTGACTCAGCCCAGGAGGCTGATGCAATGGCGGCAGCCGTCGCCAGGAAGGGGCTGCAGAGGCCTGGGGTGGAGAGCCCCGGTGGGTTCCTCACCTGCCCAGCTGTAGCCAGGGCTGGCTCGGGCAGACCCAGCCTGGGTCCTGGGACAGCTGGCAGAGGGCTCCACCACTGCAGATCAGACGGTCCTGTTGCGCCCGTGCGGTGTGGTCTCAGGCAGTGGGTGCTGGATTTTACTTGGAAACATTCTGAAATTGGCCTTCGGGAGAAGAGGGCTTGCTTTGTTTTCCCTAGAAAATTGCTGATCTTGAGACTGCGGCCATGGTGGAGCGGGCGGGCGGGCAGCTCTCAGATTCCTACTTAGTCACGGTTCCTACAGCTCTGCTGCTCCGGCACCCGGCCAGGGAGTTTTTCTGAGCGTGTTCACTGGAGATGGTTGTGAGCCGTGGGATTTCCAGCATGAAGCGAGGCCCTTGGCAGAGACCCTATGGCTGGGCAGCTGCTCTTGGGGTCAGGGTCAGATCAGTGTTCTGGAGACGGGACTCCTCAGTTAGAGAGAAAGCGCTCTGCAGGGACTTGGCCCAGAGCCTGCAGGGGCGGGGAGAGGGGCTGTGTGATCAAACACCAGCCTGTCGCCTTCCCAGACAGCTCCCCTGCCCGTGCCGGAGTGAGAGATCAGAGCAAAAGAAAGGTTTTCTTCAGGCCAAATGGAGCCACGTGTTGGGACTGCTGGCCGAGACGTCACTTGGGACGTTTGCGTCCCCTGTCCCTGCTCCACTGCAGATCCGCTTTCCTCCTGACGCACACCTGGAGGCAGCAGGTGATGGATGGCTTCAGTGGAGTTCTGGGACTAGCCCAGCCCTGGCTGTTGGGGGCAGTTGTCACCTCTGCTGTTCAAATATAAAACTTCCTAAAATGTCACACTTCTTTAAAAAAAAGCCAAATGTGTCCAACTGAAACATCTGTCCTTTATTCTGAGATTTTTTTATATATGCATTCTTTTTTTTAAAAAAGAATTATTTTATTTATTTGAAAGAGTTACAGAGAGAGGTAGAGACAGAGTCTTCCATCCACTGGTTCACTCAGCAGATGACTGCAATGGCCAGAGCTGCGCCAATCCAAAGCCAGGAGCCAGGAGCTTCCTCCAGGTCTCCCACGTGGGTGCAGGGACCCAAGCACCTGGGCCATCTTCTGCTGCTTTCCCAGGCCATTGCAGAGAGCTGGATCAGAAGAGGAGCAGCCAGGACTTGAACTGGCGCCCATATGGGATGCCGGCGCTTCAACCTGCTGTGCCACAGCGCCGGCCCCAATATAAATGCATTTCTGTTTTTTGTTTATATTTTTTTTTTTGCCGGCAGAAGAGGAAGGGAGAGAGATAAAGGTGAAGGGAAAGGTCTTCCTTTCCTTTGCCGTTGGTTCACCCTCCAATGGCCGCCGTGGCTGGCGCGCTGCGGCCGGCGCACCGCGCTGATCCGATGGCAGGAGCCAGGAGCCAGGTGCTTTTCCTGGTCTCCCATGGGGTTCAGGGCCCAAGCACCTGGGCCATCCTCCACTGCACTCCCTGGCCACAGCAGAGGGCTGGCCTGGAAGAGGGGCAACCGGGACAGAATCCGGCGCCCCGACCAGGACTAGAACCCGGTGTGCCAGCGCCGCTAGGCAGAGGATTAGCCTAGTGAGCCGCGGTGCCGGGCCTTTAAATGCATTCTTTTTACAAAAAAGCATGGAACTGGGGCTGGCGCTGTGGCACAGTGGATCAAAGTGCCAGCATCCCATATGGGCGCTGGTTCTAGTCCCGGCTGCTCCACTTCCGATCCAGCTCTCTGCTGTGGCCTGGGAAAGCAGTAGAAGATGGCCCAAGTCCTTGGGCCCCTGCACCCACATGGGAGACCCGGAAGAAGCTCTTGGCTCCTGACTTTGGATCGGCTCAGCTCTGGCCGTTTCAGAAAACTGGGGAGTGAACCATCGGATGGAAGACCTCTCTCTGTCTCTACCTCTCGCTGTACCTCTGTCTTTCAAATAAATAAAAATAAATCTTAAAAAAAAAAAATTGAACTGACCATGTCTTTTCCCTGTGTGAAATGCTGATAGTAGCTTGTGTTTTGTGTTTGCTTTCTTGATTTTTGAATGCTGTTCCTGGTCAGAGAGGAGGCTGCCTGGTGCTGGTCCCTTGGTGCACTTGGGGCTGGCTAGTGAGCTGACAGTTGGAGCCCTGGGTCGGTCTTGGCTTGCAGTGGGACTCTGGAATTACCTGCCCTATTGTGGCAGGAATGTTGCTCCCTGTTGCATGTCTCCCTGTCTCCTGTCGGGCTGGGCTACCCTGTGCCCTCTCTCTGGGCTGACCCCAGGGTCCTGTGCTCTCTGCAGCCATGGATTTCCCCCAGCACAGCCAGCACGTCTTGGCACAGCTGAATCAGCAGCGGCAGCTGGGCCTTCTGTGTGACTGCACCTTTGTGGTGGACGGGGTGGACTTTAAGGCGCACAAGGCGGTGCTGGCGGCCTGCAGCGAGTACTTCAAGATGCTCTTCGTGGACCAGAAGGATGTGGTGCACCTGGACATCAGTAACGCGGCAGGTACCCCGGCGGGGCCAGGGCCCGGCTTGTTGAGGGCCAGATGCTGCGCTGGCCCCGTGCCACACAAGCGCCTGCAGGCCTCAGCCCTGAGCGTGTAGGTGCCAAGTTCCTACCACCTTTTGGGGTCTGTTTTACTGGAACTGGGGTGGTCAGGGGAGAACGGGCAGGATGAGCTCTAGGCTGAGGTGCATGTAGGACAGGCCTCATCACGGGGGAGGGGAGCAAGCTGGCTCTACCCCCGGCCCCTTTCCAGGCCCCTACCCCTGTGCCAGCCACCAGTGTAGGAGTGGGGGTGGGGACGTTCAGGGTGTGGGCTAGGGGTAGTGTCGGGAAGGCCCTGGGGCTCAGGGCCTGGTCCTGGACTCCCATCCTAGAACGGTGTGAAGACAGGTCGGGGCGAGGTGTTCTGCCCTTTACAAATGCAGAAGCTGAGATTTAGTCAGGTGGCCTGAAGGTCGGACAGAGCTCTGGTAAGGCCAGCGCCGGCCTGCCTCAGAGAGCAGTGCTGTGTGGGCATTCACGCCGCTGTACGTGCGCACCCCTGGGCCTCTGGGGGCACTCGTACTGCCTCCTGAGGCGGTGCCAGGCTGAGAGCCCCGGGCGCCGGGAAGGGGAGACGGGGACTCGCCGCTCAGCTTTTCGTGAACCCGTGGCTTCTGCCACTGACTGGAGTGGCTTCGAGGCGGCCCGGTGATGGCTGTCCTGTCCTTGGCAGGCCTGGGGCAGGTGCTGGAGTTCATGTACACGGCCAAGCTGAACCTTAGCGCTGAGAACGTGGATGATGTGCTGGCCGTGGCCAGCTTCCTCCAGATGCAGGACATCATCACGGCCTGCCATGCTCTCAAGTCGCTCGCTGAGCCAGCTGCCAGCCCTGGGGACCGCATGGAGGCCCCAGCCGTGGAAGGTAAGATGACTGGCGGGCTCTTCCTAACAGGTGACTGGAGAACCTGGCCTTGATGGGGAATCCGCCGCCTCACCGCTGGGCCCCCTCTTCTGGCCCTGTCTTTGTTGTGGGGTGCCGGCGGGGTCAGCGGAGAGTGAGAGGCCCCTTCCCACCTCCCACCGGCCGAGGCGGGGCGCTGTGCCTGGTTCGGTGCATGCGGACAGGGTTTGCTCCCGAGTCCTTCAACAGCTCCCGTCCCAGGCCACCCCCTGCGCTCTCTGCACCCCCCCACCGTGGGCAGATTCCAGACCGCATTCCTCTCCCGCCACGCGTGCTGCTGCCTCCTGAGTAGCATCCCTGCTGCTCAGCTGGAGTCTGCGGGCCCCAGGGACGCCGTGACCATCCCTGTGGTAGTCCCAGGCCCCGCCTGGCGTGGAATAGGTGCCCTGAGAGGAATTTACTGAATGACAAACCAGTACCCCCCAGGGAAGATCCTGGAAAGCTAGCAAGTTCTGGGTTACCTCACCCCTCCAAGTAATGGGCACTTGATGGGAAATGGCAGGTCTGTCCTGTTCCACCTCCAGGAGGGGAAAAGAGAGCCAAAGAGGAGAAGGCTGCCGCCGCCATGCTGAGCAGGCTGGACCAGGCCGGAAGCAGTCCACCCACGGGCCCAGGCAGGGAGCCCAAGGAGGAGCGAGGAGGCCAGGCCGAGAGCGCAGCCAGTGGTGAGTCGTGACACCGTGGACGGGGAGGTGGTGGCAGGAGTCACAAGGCCTGTCCCGCCACCTGCCACCAGCCAGGGCTGTCGTGTAGTAAGGGGCTGCTTCCCGAAGGGCCTGTGGCAGGGAGGTGGGTGGCGTGGGCCCTGAACCGTGAGACCCATGGTCATTCCAGCCACAGCAGACCTGAGCAGCCTGAGCTCGGATGTGCTGGGACCTCCTCTTCTGGGCTGCAGCCCCTCTAGAGGCCTGGCTCAGGGGCGTGATCTGGGCCCTGGACGGAGGGTCCCAATCCAGCCTCTGACACCCCGCTAGGTGCAGAGCAGACGGAGAAGGCTGATGCCCCCCGGGAGCCCCCGCCTGTGGAGCTCAAGCCAGACCCCACGAGTGGCATGGCTGCTGCAGAAGCTGAGGCTGCCTTGTCAGAAAGCTCCGAGCAAGGTACTCACTGGCCCTCAGCCCCGGCTCCGCTACGGCTCTCGCTCCGGGGCCTGCCCGATTACTAGGAGCCGCTGTCCGTGCAGCCTTTGGACAGACCCCATCTTGTCTTGTTCTTGAATCAGAAGATCCGCATCTTGATTGCATGCCCTGGCCACGTTTCTCCCAGCTCAGGCACCACGCAGGGTGCACCTCGCTGCCCCCAGCACACCCCCAGGGCCTGCCCACGCCAGGTGCCGCAGTGCCCGCCCTTCTCTCCGCAGAGATGGAGGTAGAGCCAGCGAGGAAGGGGGAAGAGCGAGAGGACGAGGGCGCAGGCCCTGCAGCCGTCAAGGAAGAGGGGCCCCCACTGGAGAACGGGGAGGCCCCCGAGGACGAGTCGGCTGGCACAGACTCCGGGCAGGAGCTCAGCGTGGAGGCCCGAGGCCTGCGCTCGGGCTCCTACGGCGACCGCACTGAGTCCAAGGCCTACGGCTCGGTCATCCACAAGTGTGAGGTGCGGGGCCGCGGGCTGCGCCAGCCCTCCCCTGCCTGCCCCGTGCCTGCCCACGGCGCGCTCACGCCCTCCCCCTGTGCCCGCAGGACTGCGGGAAGGAGTTCACGCACACGGGCAACTTCAAGCGGCACATCCGCATCCACACGGGCGAGAAGCCCTTCTCGTGCCGGGAGTGCAGCAAGGCCTTCTCGGACCCCGCCGCCTGCAAGGCCCACGAGAAGACGCACAGGTACCCGCCCCACCGGGCCTCCTCGCCCTGCAGGCCCCAGCCTCGGGGCCCCGGCGAGCCCTCCTCTCCCTGTCGCCCTCTGACCCCCAGCCCGCTGAAGCCCTACGGCTGCGACGAGTGCGGCAAGAGCTACCGGCTCATCAGCCTGCTCAACCTGCACAAGAAGCGGCACTCGGGCGAGGCGCGCTACCGCTGCGAGGACTGCGGCAAGCTCTTCACCACGTCCGGCAACCTCAAGCGGCACCAGCTGGTGCACAGCGGCGAGAAGCCGTACCAGTGCGACTACTGCGGCCGCTCCTTCTCCGACCCCACGTCCAAGATGCGCCACCTGGAGACGCACGACACGGACAAGGAGCACAAGTGCCCGCACTGCGACAAGAAGTTCAACCAGGTGTGCGGCCGCGCGCGGGCCGGAAGTGGCGACCTGTGGAGGCGTGCCGGGGTGGGGCAGGGCTGAGGCAGGGTAGGGTTTGGGCGAGAAAGAACTGGGGCTGGGGTGGGGTTCCCGGGGCGGGGGGGGAACCCGAGCCTGTCTCTGGAGCGGCCCTGCTGACGCCTCGCTGGGCGCAGGTCGGGAACCTGAAGGCCCACCTCAAGATCCACATCGCCGACGGGCCCCTCAAGTGCCGGGAGTGCGGCAAGCAGTTCACCACCTCAGGTAGGCGCCCGGCCGCCCCGCCGCCCCGCCCTGCTCCTGGCCAGCCGGGCGCCCCACCCAGGCCGGCCCTCGCTCTCGCCCAGGGAACCTCAAGCGGCACCTGCGCATCCACAGCGGGGAGAAGCCCTACGTGTGCATCCACTGCCAGCGGCAGTTCGCGGACCCCGGGGCGCTGCAGCGGCACGTGCGGATCCACACTGGTGGGTGAGCAGGCCCCGCGCCGCCGGGGGCTGGGAGGGGGCGCGGGGGAAGCGAGGTGGGCGCCAACACCTTCTCCTGCCCCGTCTGTCCCCAGGCGAGAAGCCATGCCAGTGTGTGATGTGTGGCAAGGCCTTTACCCAGGCCAGCTCCCTCATCGCCCACGTGCGCCAGCACACTGGGGAGAAGCCCTACGTTTGCGAGCGCTGCGGCAAGAGGTCCTGTCCGCCCCGGCTCCTCCCCGCCCCCACGCCCTGGGTGCCGTGGGATCCTAGACGCTCCGCGGAATACAGATGTTGGGAGCTGGGGCCCAGGCCCTCACAGTGGGAGGCCCCGGCCCGGCTCCCCGGCCCTGGGTGCGAGCCCCTCCTGTGCCCTGCAGATTCGTGCAGTCCAGCCAGTTGGCCAATCACATCCGCCACCACGACAACATCCGCCCACACAAGTGCAGCGTGTGCAGCAAGGCCTTCGTGAACGTGGGCGACCTGTCCAAGCACATCATCATCCACACTGGTGAGCACGCGCCCTCCCCAGGCCGTGGTGTCGGCACTGGCTGCGGGTGGCCCCGGGGCCTCTCTGGAAGCCGTCCTCCCAGCCCCACCCCAGAGAACCTTGCCTCCTCCCCAGGAGAGAAGCCTTACCTGTGCGACAAGTGCGGGCGTGGCTTCAACCGGGTGGACAACCTGCGCTCCCACGTGAAGACTGTGCACCAGGGCAAAGCCGGCATCAAAATTCTGGAGCCAGAGGAGGGTGGGGAGGTCAGCGTGGTCACTGTGGATGACATGGTCACGCTGGCCACAGAGGCGCTGGCGGCGACAGCTGTCACTCAGCTCACAGGTACGGGCACCTTACCTCTGGGGTGGCAGTGATGGGGCGTGTGCTGTGGCCGCAGCCTCAGGCCCTGCTGACTCCGCCCACCCACAGTGGTCCCAGTGGGGGCTGCGGTGACCGCTGACGAGACGGAGGTGCTGAAAGCCGAGATCAGCAAAGCCGTGAAGCAAGTGCAGGAGGAAGGTGAGGGGGCCGCCCAGGGTGTGACTGCTGGGCCCCGGGGCCCCGCCCGCCCTGACCGCAGCCTCCCTCCACAGACCCCAACACCCACATCCTCTACGCCTGCGACTCCTGTGGGGACAAGTTCCTGGACGCCAACAGCTTGGCGCAGCACGTGCGGATCCACACGGCCCAGGCGCTGGTCATGTTCCAGACAGATGCGGACTTCTACCAGCAGTACGGGCCAGGCGGCGCGTGGCCAGCAGGGCCAGTGCTGCAGGCTGGGGAGCTGGTCTTCCGCCCTCGGGACGGGGCAGAAGGCCAGCCGGCGCTGGCAGACACACACCCGACGGCACCCGAGTGCCCACCACCTGCGGAGTGAGCGGACAGCCCCGGCCCTCCTGTTTATTTAAGGATGGATGTGCCCTGGAACTGAGAGGGGTGGCCCCATTCCCTAGAGAGAATAAATCTGATTATTTTCTAACGTTGCCTATAGGTCCCTGTTGGGGGGAGGGGAGGTGGATATCGGGCAGCTCTAGCTGATACCAGGCGGGCCGACCCTCCTGCGTGAGCCGGGACCTGCAGGACTGTCCAGAAGGGAGCTGGCTGCTGCTCCGAGTCAGCCACAGACGGCTCGGCCCCTTCTGAGCCGGCCCGAGCCGTTTCTCCTTCAGGATTCCTTGCCGGGTCCAGCAGGCCAGGCTTGGCTGTCAGGCCCAGGAAGTCAGGAGGGCCCGGTACTTGCCTCACAAGTGGTCCCGGCCCAAGGACGAAGGCCACGCCAGGGCCAACTTTCGCGAGTGTTTACTTGCCCACGGCCAACCAATGGGTTCTGCCAGTAAGCCAGCCAGGAGCCTGGATGTGGTGGTGGACTTGGCAAACGGGCCCAGGGCAGCCCTGCTCAGGGGGCACAACCCATGGCAGCTGGCCTACACCATCCATTTTCTCGAACCCGGAGCCCGGCTGACATTGGATTTGTAGTCCCCGTCCGTACCTCTCATTCTGATTCCAAAGCTGCAGGGAAGCCTGGCCCCCAGGGTAGGGGAAGGGAGGGCGCGAGAGACCACAAACCAGCACTGGGGAGGAGGGGGTGAATCTGCATAAAATCATGAAGTGCCCGCCCGCCCGCCCACCTCCTGACAACCCAAGGGTTACTGACACCACAACACGAACAGAGCTCAGCATCTTCGACAAGAGTTTCCTTGGGAAGGATTAGGTGGCAGAAAAGGAAACTGGCTCCCTGCAGACCTGGGGGGGGCGGGGGCTGTGGTTCCTGGGAGCCGAGGACCATGGGCCTCCCCAACAAGTGACAATCACGTTCACGCTGACGTGTTTTGTATTTTTTAATAAAGTTTGTAATCCAATGGACACACGAAACAAAACTGCGCTGAGAAAAACAGTTTCATAAATTAATAAGTGTTAGGAAGTCGGAGGAGAGGTCAAGGTCGTTGGAAGAGGGGGACTCGCCAGTCTTTGTACAGGTGCTGTGACACTGCCGCATCGCAGAGCAGGGCCCGTGCCGTAACGAAGCGCACTTATACAAATGAGTGACAATACAAAGTCTGAGTATGAAAATAAGATCTTCTCTGAAAACACGTTTTTGGCACAGATTAAAAAAAATGTATGTCAGGGAATTTGATTTTAAGTCAGTATTATATATATTTATATATATATATTATATTTCTATATACACACATCCCAAGTTCTGCATATCCCACCAAGAAAGAAAACGCTTCTGTTCGCTCTCCGACTGTAAACTGCATCCCGGTGAGTCAGAGACGGCGGCAGCGGGAGTCAGGAGGGTGACATCCAGATGAGCAAGGGAGACAGTGGCAGGGGGACAAAAAAACCAATGAAATGTTCCTTGACCCCAAGGTCTCAGCGGAAGGGTGAGGTCCTGCGGAGGCGCCCGCACGTGCTCACAACACCCCCAGAGTCACAGCCTGTCTTCACTGTGCAAAAGTCCAAGTCACTAATTTAGTGCAAAGGCAGTTCTGTTTTCTTGTTTCTTAAAAACAAAACAAAACAAAATTTAATTCCACTGCCCTGTTCCTTTTCTCCACAAAGAGGAGAGAGAAACCCAGCCCCGAGGTGTCTGCCAGTCCGGCGGGGGGTGGTCGGGGGTCGGTGCCTGGGCCAGAGCGTCCGGTAAACGTACACAGTAGCAGCACCACTGCCCAGAGGCCTGTCCGAGGGGCGCGGGAGCAGCAGGCTGGCACCTGGCAGTGGAGCCCGTCCCCTCTGCCTGGCCGCGCCGTCCGCTGTCCGCTGCGGAGCCCGAGAGCGTGCGTACCGGAGGCGGTGACCGTCCGCGGCTCACACGGAGGCAATGACAATCATGAGGTGGGGGGAGATGTTGGAGATGCTGGCGAGCAGGTCGGGGGCCAGCCGGGACAGGTGACTCTCGGAGAACTCGCAGGGCGGGAAGATCTGCAGCACGTAGGCAGGCTGGGGGCGGGGTTGAGAGAAAGGTAGGGACCTCCGTCTTCACACCCCCCCCCCGCCCCCCGCCCCGTGTACTGGAAGCAGGCCAGGCCACTTTCCCAACCAGCTGCCCAAGACCATGCCTGTCAGAAAATCATGAATACACCCCCCCCACCCGACCCCCCCCCCCTCGAGCCTCTTCTCCACATCAAGCTCAGGAAACCCCTCGGGGCTGCTGCTGGCAACGCCGGCCCCGCACAGCCCAGCGTCTGGGTCCGAGTCCTGGCTCTGCTCCCATGCAGCTCAGGCCAATGCACCCCCAGGGGGTGGAGGGTGGGGCAGCAAGTGATGGCTGCCACCCATGCCAGGTAGGGGGCACCCGGTGGAGTGCTGGGCTCCTGGCTCCAGCCTGGCCCAGTCCCAGCTGTTGTGGGCATTTGGGGAGTGACCCAGGAAATGGAAGGCTGCTGTCTGCCTCCGACAAGAAGCCTGTCCTCACTGCTCCGTCAGCCCTCTCCAGGATGAGCCATGGCAGCCGCTCGCGTGCACGCCTCGTGCCTCTGCTCCAAGCGCCCCTGTGCCTGCCACCTCCTGGACTCCTCTAGTTGGCCCTAGAAGAGCCCCTGCGCAAAGGGAAGATGCTGCACCCACCTGATTGGAGCCAGGGTTGGGAACATTGATGATCCCAGCGGCCTGCTTGGCCTGCAGGTAAGTGATGAAGGCAGCCTTGAGAGACTCGGTCTGACTCACGACATCTTCCTGGTCACGGCCACAGGGCAGAGCCAGCAACAGACAGTAATCGGTCTCCACCTGGGGCAGAGTGGGCCAGCCATCAGTGATCAAGGGCTTCCTAGGCCAAGACGCCCAAGTCCAACCAGGGTATTAAGTCCACAAAGCATCCCTATGAGGTCACTGAGCACCCCCCGCCCAATACCTGCTGCACAGGAAGACTTTCTGGGCCCAGAGGCGTTTTACATCACCAAGTAGACACAGAAATGTTCCTTTCACCGCCCACCATCGCTGACCCACGCCAGTCTGGACAGGCCTTGGGGGGAGGCGGCGACACCTGCACCTCCCCTCACGGTGGGCGGAACAGGTGCTCTCCCAGGGCTGCAAGTCTTACCATCATCCTCCGGGCAACCCCTTCCAGCTGCGAGGCCTCCAGCCGCATCCTCTGGGCTATCCGCAGCGGGGGCCCTCCTTCAGAGAGGGGCAGGGACCGGTGGGCCAGCACGTTGTTGCCAGAGACGAAGTGGAGCTGCACAGCAGCCGTGTCGTTCTTGAGGGCCAACAGGCCCTGCCACACGATGGGGTACTTCTGCTCCCAGGGAGGCAAACGCGTGTGAGCCGGGAGGCTGCAGCGCCGAGCCGCCCCGACACGGCCCCAGGGAGCAGCCCGGGGAACCCAACACAAACCTCAGAACACGGGCAGCCCCACCCCGCACTTACCGTGAGAAGCTGGACCATGTCCACTGGCCTCTGGGAAGTCAAGTGTGGGGAGGAATCTGGTTTGGGGCTTGGCTGGGCTTCCGTGTGCGGCAGGGCCAGTCCTGGAGGGGTGCTGGGGCCGGAGGTCGTGGGGACAAACAGTGGCTGCTTTGGGGCAGCCTGAGCAGGAAGAGGGGCCTGGAGGTCAGGCTTCATGGAGACGGAGACAGGGGACGGGTAGGAAGTCTGGCCTGCGTCCCCTTGTGTCCTCTGCACCTGGGCATGGGGCTCAGGCGGCCTGTTTGCAGGTCCAGCTGGGAGGCGAGGCTGCTCCACTCCTGTCTGGGTGCCCTTTGCCTCCTGGGAGACCTGAGGCATCTTGCTGCCCGATGGCTGGCCAGGCTGGCTGAGCTGCGAGGGCTGGCAAGGCAATGTAGGCTGGGCAGACTGTGGGGAGGGCACGGGTGGGGCAGGCTGCGTGGACTGCAGGGGTTCACTTTCTGGAGGGCCCTAGAGGTAGCAGGAAAGGCAAAGGGGCCACCCTCAGAGTGCTGCCAGCAAGCACCACCCCAGCCCAACAAATGACCGAACGGGCCAGAGGGCAAAGGCCGGATGTGGGGCATCGCCTTGTGTAGCCAGCACACCCATTGCCGCCCTCTCCACACCAGCAGGCGCAGGAGCCGCCGCGCCCATCATTCCCCCAAGGAGCTCCTTCCCACGGCCAGGACTCTGTGGGTGATCTGATCCTCTCACCCCACGATAGGAACCTCGTCATGAAGCCTCCCAAAAGGCCACCAGGTTTTAGGGAGTTCGACCTGCTCACTTGCAACTCGTCCAGCACCCTGGCAGAAAGGCTGGCTCCCCACCACCACCTCTGCTTCCAAGTCCCCGAGCCCGAGTGCACACCCAGCAGGTGGGCACACCGGCCTCCTCACCTGCGCAGGAGCCTTGGTCCGGGAAGTCAGGCCAACCGAGGAAGCGGCAGGGAACTGGGTGTGTGTGAGCTGGGCTGGGGCGTGGTAGGTCCGGATATCGCCGTACCTGTACTCCTGAAACAGCTCCCCACTGGAGTGCACAATCTGCACCCCGTGGGTCACCACCACAGGGGGTGTCAAAGGCAGCCCTTGGAGTTGGTTACTGGGGGTGACAGTGAGTATGCGGGCCTCCCCGTGAGGGGGAGGGGCAGGGGCAGGAACCGGGACGGGGGCGGGGGCGGGGGCAGGGGCGGGGACAGCGGCAGGGACAGGGGCCACTTTGGCATCTGACGTCTTGGCAGCTTCTTTGACTGGCTGCTGTGGGGCCTTGCTGGCTGGCGGCACCTTCACTACCCCGTCTGCGGCACGGGGCTGCTCGCTGACGGCCGTCACGTGCGGATGCACCATGATCCTCACGTCCCGGGGCACGGTGTACGGGTGCAGCCGGTACTCAGACTGCATGACCAGCACCTCCGACTGCACAGGGGCTGTGGCTCGGGCAACAGGGAGGTGATACTGCACTTCTTCCTCAGGGGGGTGCTGGGAGGCCAGGGCAGGCACACTAGCAGTCGCCGGCTGGGGCGTACCCACACGCGGGGGCGCCCTGACCTCCATCTGCTGGGGCTGCAAAGGGGCCCGGGGAGAGTGCAGCGTCTCTGGCCGGATGCTGTAGGTGATGCTGGGCAACGTGGGCGTGTTCATTCTCACCTCACCCTGGGACAGGTGGCCAAGCGACACCGTCTGGGTGATGCTGTGGGGGGGCATGATGACAGACTGCTCCGGGTGTATGCTCGAGATGAACTGCGGCACGGGGATGCCTGCAGCCAGCATGACCGTGGCATTGGTAGACAGCGCGGCGGACGTGGTGCTGCTGGGGTGGCAGGCCCTCGGGAACGGGGACGGGGCAGGCCCGCTGGGTCTCGGAGAGTGCGAGTCTGGCTTTGCGGCTGCCAGGTGCGGGACAGTTCGCTCGGTCGGGGTGCTGGGCCCGGAGCTGACGTGGTTCACTTCCGCAGGCAGTTTGCTGGGCAGAGCAGGAGGGTGGTGCGGCGCGAGCGTGGAGCCCAGGTTAGCTGGCTGAAGGACCTTGGTCTCGATCTTCAGAGTGACTGGGTCTGCAAGCTTCTTATTGGTGGTGACTATGCTCGGGGTGAGGACCAGCTGGTTGTGAACCAGCACCGGGGGTGTGTTTATGCCCTGGGTGAGAACCTTCACTGTGCCTCCCTGAGTCACAGGCGTGGACACGGAGAGGTGGATGGGCTCAGGCTTCTCCAAAGACGGACGGTCAGCCTTCACGGATGAGATCACGGGAGATGCATTGTACGTCTGGGCAGTCAGCACCAGAGTGGAATGGGTGGCCACGTTGGCGTAGCCTGAAGGGGTCTGAGCGCCTTTGGGGGGAGCCTGTGACGGTGCGACAGAGTCGGCTTTGAGCTGCGACTTGGAGACCGACTGCTGAAACTCGATGTCCATTGCACTCGCTGGTGGGATCTGGCTGATCTTGGCGCTGATCCGCTGTGGGCCTTCCGTCTTCTGCCCCGAGTAGCTCAGGAGCACGACCCCTTCTGAAGTGTTCACGCGCAGCCCGGCGCCGGCGCCCGCGTCAGCCGGCCGGTCGTCGATCACCGACATGGACCCAGGGTGGAAGCGACTGTTCTCGTTCGTGCTGGCTCTCTGCTTGCACTTTGCCGGCGGTGCAATCATGGCACCGGCCACGGTCGCTGTGCCAGTGGTGGCGGTCACCCCCCCGGACGCGGCAGTCACCGTCACTGCCCCTGCGGCGGTGTTCACGGCGCCCGTGGCGGCGTTCACCACACCGGCCGAGGCGCTCACGGGGCCCACGGTGGCGCTCACCGGAGCGGCGAGGACGTTCACGGGCCCTGTGAGGACGTTCACGGGCCCCTTCAGGACGTTCACGGGCCCGGCGGGGGTGCTCACCAGACCCTTCAGCGTGGCCACCGAGCCCTTCACGGGGCCTTTCAGCGCGTTCACCGGGACCAGGGACACGTTCACCAGGCCGGTCAGGGCACTCACCAGGCCAGTGAGGGTCTGCGGCGCAGGTTTTGCCAGGGTTATCTTCTGGGAATTCTCCAAATCAATGCTGACGGGCATGCGGCTGATCACAGAAGTGATTTTGGGAGCAATGACTGGAGCCACCTTTTCTTTGTCGGTGGCGATGGGGACCTCCGAGGCTTGTGTGTCAGGGGCGCTTGCTGCTGGAGCTGACGCCTTTTCTTCTAAAGGTGGCCTTTTAGGCTCAACTGCAAGGGGCGGTGCCTCGTGCAGACAAGGGGGGGCACTGACAGGCTCCGCAATGGCTGTGGTGACACTCGTGGAAGTGACGCCTGTGGCAGATACGTACTTGGGGTCCATAAGGATCTTCCTCAGGGTACTGGAGCTGGTGTCCACGTCAGAGGCCTTCGTGTCTGGAGGGAGAGCTGGAGACGGAGTGGACTGAGCCCGTGGCTCCTCCTGCCTTGTGATCCACTCTGTCACCTTAGGCGGGGGGCTCTGGTGTGGGACCCCCCCGGAGGCCACAGGGGGTGGCAGCTTTGCTGCAGTTACTGAAGGAATTGTAGGTGGGGCTATGCTCGAGTCACTGGGTGGAGTCACCGGGTCACTTTCAATGACAGAATGCACCTTGAACCTGGCTTGAGGTTCGTCGTCCACCGGCACTGGCTGGGGAGGAGGGGGAAGGTCTGGGAGAGCCGAGGTCTTGGTCGGAGTTCTCTCTTCAACAACACTGCTTTCTTGAGACACACAATCCACAGACGGGGACCTGCTGGGGTCAGAGGCATGCGACTGCGGAGGAGGAGAGGGGGGCTTCTCACTTTGCTCCTCCTGTGGCGGTTCTGGGGGGGGCACCGCCGTGCCCTCATTCGCAGCGGGACTCTTGTTTGGTGCGTGGTCTGATTCAGAGGCATGAGGCTCTGCAGCAGCCCCTGCCTTCCTGTTGGTATTCCGTCTGCGGCGGGACCGGGTGGTCTTCTGGCGCCCTTTGTCTTTCCGAACCAAGGCAACTTCTGCTTCTTTCGGCCCTTTGACTTCCTGTGCTGGGAGGGAAGTTTCGCTGCTGCCCTCTCTGGCTGCCTTGGTGTCCGCTGGGCCTGCGGAGGGGTCAGGGGCACTGGCTGCTGGCCGACAAGACTCTGTAGCAGCATCTGTCTCCAAGATGCCAGACACAGCCTCATTGGTCTCAGGCTCCATCCCTTCCTCAGGAGGCTGCAGATCTGTCTGAGATTCTGCTGGGTAAGGTGCAGGGGTTGGGAAGTTCTCTGGTTCCCCAGAAATGTCGTTGATGATGGAGCCAATGGCCGCAGCCAGCTCCGTCTCACTGGCTGGGTGTGCGGGCTTGTCCTCGGCGGCGAGGCCCTCTGGCGCACCTGCAGCTGCGGCCTTGTACGCCGCGGAGCTGGTGGTTTCTGTGAGCTTGGCGATGTTCTCCACGGCCCGCTCCAACTCCATCTGCTGAGCTAGCTGCGAGGCTTCCGGGGAGGCAGACCCGTTTTCAGTCTCTGGTTCCCTGCCTGCATCAACTGGATCGTTGTTCAGCTGAGATGACAAACTACCGTCCTTTGGCAAACCCTGGCTTTTCTCAGGGGAGACCCTCACCAGCCCAGCCTCCTTCTCTGCGGCCTGCCCCACGGCCACGCTGGGACCAGCTGTGGCATCCGCACTTTTCAGATTTGCAGATCTGTCCACTGCTGACCTCGCATTGCGAGCTCTGCCTCGCTTGGCTTTGGAGTTTTTTTCGGGGGCTGTTTTTCTCTCCACCACCTCGGCCGGGGGTGTCCCAGGGGCGTTCGTGTCTGTGTTCTCTTTTCTATCGCATTTCTCTTCAGTCCCTGCTGCTTCTCTATCTTTCACGGTTACCTGGGGGCTCTCCTCCGGGGTGGCCTCAGGACGCTGTGCGTCAGCTTTTGGTTCGTTTTTCCCCTTTTTCCCTTGGGGTCCTCCCGCAGCTGATTTTTGTGATCGTGGGGACCTCCACCCCTCAGCCGGCTTGAGTGTTTCCGTGGATTCTTTGACCTCATTCTCGTCCTCCTCTTCTGCTCGACGGCGCGTCTTTGGAGGCCTTCCCCTCCGAGGGGTCGTAGGAACTGCCGCCGCTTCCTGAAGTTCTCGCTCCAGCCGCTTTCTGGTTACCCTCGGCTGTTCTGCGGGCTCTTTGGCTGGAGAGCGGCTTTCCTGGTCACCCATGGTGGCGTACACGCTCCTCACGTTCCGGCGCCTGGTGCGGCTGAGCGGCAAACTTGGTTCAGGGTGTTCAGGGTCCCCAGCAGAGTTTTTTGAAGCGGTCCTTGTAATCTTCTCTGCCTCCATCTTTAACTCCAGGAGCTTCTGGGCTTCTCCGCGGGGAGAGCTGGACCGCTTTAACTTCTCCCGGTCTATCCTCTCACTCTTCCTCGTGACAGGCTTCTCCACGGCACTTGCCGCAGCTGCCTGAGCTGGGGTCTTGGAACGCTTACTTTTATTTGGCTTTTTATCTTTTACAGCAACTGGGGGATCCACCTCTAAGTCTTCAGAAGCCGGAGGCCGGGTCTCAGGGACGACCTCAGCTCTCTGATTTGCACTGGGCTCCGCAGGAGTGGGTGAGGCTGGCTTCTCTGCCTTCGGCTCTTCAGCCTCCTCGGGCTTCTGCGTCGGCTTTGGAAGCGGCTGAGCACCGGCGGGCTCTGGACTCGCACTGCTCTCCACCTGCGAATACGAGGCTCCGGGAGTCGGAGGCCTGGCGTCCGGAGACGGCAGCGGCTCAACAGCGGGACCTTCTTCGGTGACAGGAGGCACGGCAGCACCTTTACTGCTGTCTTCTCCCGGGGGCAGGTCCGCTTGTTCAGGCTGTTCCACAGGGACAAGGGCCTGCTCAGGCGCAGGCTTTGCTGCATCTGAGACGGAAGCAGGCGCCCCCGCCTCCTCCTCAGTCCCCAGAGGCTCCTCCAGCATCTTCTCCCCAGTCCTCTCGGGTGCCGAGGGGGCCGGGTCTGCAGGCACAGCTTGGCCACCGGGAGGCCCACCGGAAGCCGCCGGCTTCAGCTCTGACTCTCTACTCTCAGAGGCACACTCTGGGGTCTTGGGATGATTCTCCGCTTCTTCGTGTTTCTCCACCTCTTTCGGTTTTTGGTCTTTTTCCTTTTCTTTCTGTTGCATCCGTGTGAGCTCCATGAATCTGCTATGGAACAAGACCACCGGCTCTTGGATCAAGTCCGCTGCGCTGTGCGCGCCGTCCGACGCCTGCCCCCCACGCAGCCTCCCGGCCCCGGAGTCGGGCCCTTCGTCCCTTCTCTCTAGGTGCTGCAGTCGCTTGGAATCTTGTTCAAAGATCGAGCTGTGCAAAAAACGGGAAGCGAACAGCTCCTGCCTTTCCTGCTCTTCCTCTTTATGGTCGTCTTTTTTATCGTCCATTTTCCCTTCTGAATCAGTCCTGATTTTCTTCTTTTTCATGTACCAGGATGGAATAGGTCTTGGAGCAGAGTCGACTTTTTCTTTATCTTTGTTGTTTCGAAAATTAGCAAACCGAGAGTCCCAATCAAGAAAAGACCAATTTTCTTCTCGAGATGAGGAGAGGGACTTAGCTCTTTCAAGCAAAGCTTTAGTGTCCGGCGTAATTGTCTTATCCAATGCGAAAGAGTAAAACCTGTTCCTTTCCAGAGAACTAGACAGTCTTTCATCTCGGTCACGCAGTTTATCTTCTCTGTCCCTCAATAAAAAAGACAGCCGAGAACTTTCGTACAACGCGGAGGCTCGGGGTGAGTGGGACTTGCGTTCACTGTCCTCATCGGAATCGGAAGGCACCTCCCCCGGTTCCAAATCACGGACAGACCTCTTACGAAGACTGTCTCTCTTGATGACGCTGTTTGGGAAGCTCACATCAAATCTGCTGGCATCCTGCTTCATCTGAGAGTCCCAACGACTCAGATCGTCTTCAGAATTCAAGACAGAGAGTTTTATTTTGGCCATGTCTGCCATCTGTTCTCTCCTGCTGGAATCATAAGGATTGAATTTTAAGGACTCTTCTCTAACAGTTAAATTAGAATACGGGAGACCTTTCTCATCGACTTTAGGAGACCCCTTTATCGGCATTAGCCTTGGGGAGCCCAGGGGATCATCGTCTTCATGGAAGGAACCGTGGCGGATACTGGGAGAACAACCAGTCCTTTCAGAATCTTCACTGATTTGGCGTGAACTTCGGTAATTCCTCTCTCTCTTGGTGAAGATATCAAAATCAACATGGTCCATCCTTTTCTTTTTGCTGGGAGGGGAGTCGTCAGTGACGTCCTGAGGAGGTTTGCCTACCTCGTGAACAAGGCTCCGGCGCTCGTATTCATCCACGTCCTTCTTGGGGCTGCCGGACTTCTCAGACTTGGCCGTTTCCATCTCCAGCTGCTGTTTCCTACGACTCTGCTCCATTTGCTTTCGGTAACTCTGTGTGTGATCAATGTCAATGCCAATTTTTTCTTCTGAATTTACTGAATGTGGTTTCTCTTGGCCTGATTTACGTTCAGGTGTTTCATCACGAAGACTGCAATAGTTTTTCCTAACATCCTCTCTCTCTGGTCCTTGATCATCTAATAGCTGCAGCTGTTTGGGCTGTGGTTTTGAGGGAATGGACTTTTTAGACGGCACTTCTTGATTTTCCACAGATTCACCTACTGGTTCAACCAATCTTGACTGCAGCTCTGAGCTGGGCCTTGAGCCAGACCCAACAGAAATGCTGGGGAGCTCCTGACAATCTTTGGGACTGGGCACAGCATTAAGTCTGTCCAGCTTGACTTTTTTAGATTCTCTTTTAGGAATGTCTTTCCTCACGGGCTTTCTTTCAGACTCGCCTTCTCTCAGCGGATTGACTTCTCTGGATGATGTGTCAGCCTGCTTTTTTAAAAGCACCCGAGCATCCTCCATGTCTGGGCTGCTCTTCTTGACTTCTGATTTCTGCCTATCCACTTTCAAACCGGAATCTGCAAACCGCCTCCTCCTTGCTTCCAGCTTCTCCAAGTCCACGGCGTTCACCCCGTCGGCTGTCTGCTCGGGCTTTAGGTGCTTCCTGGGTTTCACCCTGCTTTCTTTGTCTACCATGTCAACATGGCTGGAAAGCCCCTTTTCCTTTGGTACTTTCATCCTGACGGATTCCAGTTTGGACAAGTCAGATTTTGCAGGCTCAGTCTGAGAGGCCGGAAGTTTCTGATCCAGAGCAGACTTGCTGGTGTCATTATCGAGCTTGGCTTTCAGCTTTTCCAAAGGATTGTGCTCAATAACTTTTCCCTCTTTTTCTTTCACTCGAGTCAAAACCACATACGGCATGAGTTCCAGACGGTTTCTTGCTACTCCTTCTTTGTCGGCTTTCTCTCTGCTCAGTTTATTGGAGCTCCTTGGTTTTTCAGGGCTCTGTTCCCTCTCATTTTCTTGGTCTGTTTCTGAAGACTGAGAACTGGGGGAATGAACTTTTCCTTTCCGTTTCTGCTTGTCAGTTTTTTCCTTTTCCACTTTTTCCTTCCGTATTAAGCGTCTTTCTCTCTCTACTCTTTCAGGATCAAAAGTTCGTTCTTTGTCTGTCTTCTCATTTTTTGTATAGCGTTCCAAACGAGCTTTGTCGAGTTTCTCGTACCGTGGAGGGGATAGTGAGCTACAGCTTCCACTGCGGTCTGAGGCCCGGCTGTACAGCCTTCTCTCGGAATCACCTGGCAACCTCTCTGACTGCGAGGGAGAGGCTCCCGGACTCTGTGTCCGCCGCAAGTGGACTGGACTCTGACTTCGTTCTGTGGGCCTCCTCTCGTGGTCTCGGTCACGGTCGGACTCAAATCTCTCTCGTTCTCTCTCTCGTTCCCTTTGCCTGTAACTGTACTCCCGAATATCTTGTTCATAAGGATCACTCCTGTAATCCCTGTATTCTCGAGGATCATCATAATAGCGTGATTCATAGTAGTCTCCTTGGTACGTTTCCCACTCTGAATAAAATTCTCTTCCTCGAGCTGGGTAGTCCCGTCTGGAGTCCTCCGGATATGTGCCTGGAGTGCGAACATTTTCATAATAGGTACGATCTTGGCTATAGTCATAAGATCCCCTGCGTTCCTCCCTGCAAAAAATTAAAGAACTACATCAGTCTTTCGTTTCCTTATCATTTAACCATTAAATCATATTCATGGGATCAGAGAGCCCTGTCTCTAAAATCCTTGACATTAATTGTTAAATGAATCAACTGTAGTGGCTGTCCAGTACAACAGCTACTGGCCAGCTATACGTGTAGCTACTGGCTGAGCACTTGAAATATGGCTAGTCTGAACTGAAATATAAATATAAAATACACACCAAATTTCAGAGCCTTTAGTTAAAAAAGGAAGCACTTGGGGCTGGCGCTGTGGCACAGTGGGTTAACGCCCTGACCTGAAGTGCCGGCATCCCACATGGGCGCCGGTTCTAGTCCCGGCTGCTCCACTTCCGATCCAGCTCTCTGCTATGGCCTGGGAAAGCAGTGGAAGATGGCCCAAGTCCTTGGGCCTCTGTACCCGCATGGGAGACCAGGAAGAAGCTCCTGGCTCCTGGCTTCGGATTAGCACAGTTCCGGCTGTTGTGGCCATCTGGGGAGTGAACCATCGGATGGAAGACCTCTCTCTCTCTCTGCCTCTCCTCTCTCTGTGTAACTCTGACTCTCAAGTAAAAAAATAAATCTTAAAAAAAAAAAAAAAAAAAAGAAAGGAAGCACTTGAACAATGCATTTAAATTAGTTATCTGTTGAAACAATATTTGATATCTTGAGTTAGGTAAAATCAATTCTACCTAGTCTTTTTACATTTTAATGTGGCTACTAGAAAATTTCGAATCAAATAACCTGTGTTGTTTCTTTTTCTTCTGCTCTTTTGGCAATTAAGGTGCAGTGACATGACAGACAACAGTTATTAAATGGTATCACAGCCCATAGTCCTCGTTCTTTCAGAATTATTTCCCACCAAAAGATATTCTTACTACAACTTGGGAAATAAATGTACCATTAGGAACAATAGGTAAAATGACTCATTATAGGTAAAATAACTCATTAAAGTCTTACCACCCATGTTATCTGTATGAGACTGATAATGCCTCTCTCTGAATTCACAATCACACAATAATAATTTGGGGAGCTGAACTCTGAGCTCACAAGCCCAGAAGAGGCAGACCCCATCTGTAAGAACTTCCCCTGGTAGCATCTCAGGTGCATTCTTCCTGAGCAGATGCCAGCACTCGGCCCAAACTGTCAGCCAGTAAATCAGGGGTGGCTGCAAACCGTGAAAGAATTCCTCCAGCCTAACGGGGTTTCTGCAGGCTTTCTCCCACAGCACCCTGTTCAGTGCACAATACAAGTATGTTACATAAAGTGAATACCCCTGTATCAGAGGGCAATCAATTCCTCTACTTGCTCTCATTCTCAGAATCTATTCTCAGTACGGCCTTTAGTGGCTCACTGAAACACCACAAAATTAGGACTTAAGCACTCTAAAGGCACAAGCTCCGGGGCCAGCACTGTGGCACCGCAGGTCAAGCTGCCGCCCGCGACACTGGCACCCACATCAGAGGACCACTTCGAGTCTCAGCTGCTCTATTTCCATTCGAGTTCCTGGCTAATGCACCTGGGAAAGCAGCAGATGATGGCCCAAGTATTTGGGTTTGTGCCACTCACAAGAGACCCGAGTGGAGTTCTGGGTTCCTGGCTTTGGTTGGGCCCAGCCCCAGCCATTGTGGCCACTTGGGGAGTGAACGAGCAGATGAAAGATCTCTTTCTCTTTCCCTGTCTCTCCTTCTCTGTCACTTTGCCTTTCATTTAATACTGGAAACATCGGTGACACATTGTTACACACATTTACACTGAACTTTCTTAAGCCAAAGAGAATTTTTATGATATATTAATATTTGCTTTAACTGGATTCAAGAGAATACTTCTATAGCTCCCCAGGAAACAGATTCTTTGCCTAAATACTACCAGTCATATTGTGAGTAAATGCTACTATACACAGAATCAAGCTACCTGAACTTCTTACCACCAGAAATGCATACTCTGAGAAAGTTTTATTTTTCCTACAGGAAACAGAGGACACCTAAGAGGCTTTTCAATAGTATAAAGTGAGTGAGACACCTGGTCACCATTACTGCCCATGTTAGGAGTAGGGCTGAGTCATATTTTTAAAATACAATAACAAGATAGCTTTAAAAATAAAGCAAAGTCAGTTGGCCACTTGGACACCTACATCCCATACTGGAGTGCCTGTTTGAGTCCTGGCTCCTCCTTTTCCAATCCAGCTTCCCGCTAATGTCACCCTGGAAGGCAGTAGATGATGGTTCAAGTACCTGAGCTTCTGTCACCCATGTGGGAGACCTAGACTGAGGCCCAGGCCCATCCATAGCTGTAGTAGGCATGTAGGGAGTGGTCTAGAAAACAAAAGATCTCTCTCCATTTGTCACTCTTGTTTCTCTCTGCCTTCCAAGTAAAATGAAAATAAAGATAATGTAACAAAATTAAGCTAACTATAACTAGACTCAAAAATACATAAAAATCATAGAAATCAAGAGGTGTATGTGTAAACATTCACTCTGGAACGCTGTTCGGTCTAACAATACCCTGAAGGGCCCATCACTGCAAGAAGAAACCAGCAGTCCTGCCCTCAAGGGGCTCACGGTGAGCAGGGGACAACACAACCGAGCACTCAAGTGCAAAGGCTCTGCAGGACACCGAGGACACCGGAAGTCAGATTTGGAACGGACTCTGTTCAAGTGACTGCAGGATGTCCAAACTACCATAAGCAGTTAGGAAAGTCATCTGCGTCATAATATGACCCTGTAAATTCATCCTGAGAATCACTGTAGTATAAAGTTTAACACACTAGCTGGTAGAAACCCAGGGTTTATCCCCAGTCTAACCACCAACCTTTAGTAGCCTGAATATCAGCATGTCTTGTGATATTCAGTTCCCTCCGTAACGGGGCAATCATGACTGCCCTACCTCCCTGACACAGAACTTGAAGGAGCAAATGAGATACTACCTTGTAAACGGCAAAGTTCCACACAAATGGAGCTATCCTGTGCATTACTGAGCTGAACTATCATTAGAGAGAAAGCAATTTTTTTATTCACGCATGCATCAACAACTATTCAGTGGGAAGACTTCCTTCCACTCTGGAAAAGGCAAAGACTCAAATTCTACAAGAATGCTGAAACCAAATGGGAAAACTGGGATCACAGTCAAGTCCCACGACTTCCTGCTTCCTATACTAGGAAATAAATACTACTGGACAGGAATGAACGACCGTGGGGAAGAACCAAAGAACAAAGCCAGATCATTGCTAAAATTAGTGAATTTTAAGTAGTGATATACCAAAATTAATACCCACACTACATTATCCAAAATTCACAAGACACTGTTACTCTAAAAACATTTACAAGAAGAGGGTTTTAAGTGGGTCTCCAGCATACCTTCTATACACTCACAGGGAGAATTCCTGCGAGCACATAATGCATTCACAGTGACACAAACTGCTATTTAGGGAGCTATACATCCTCTTGCACGTGCACATACAACATCACACTTGCGGTCATGCTCTGACACTTGTGTGCATGGGCGTGCGTGCACACACACACACACACAGATAGAACAGGCTAAAAAGACTCATCTTCCAACTTAAGAACTGCTGATTTTTTGCCTTTTGTGATTTGGATTCTGATTGACTAGTTAGAAACCTTAGGGGTTCAAGCTTTTGGAAATCTGGCTATGGGAGAATTTTTTCATTTAAACATTTCCAAGCATTTGATGACCACTGTACAATATTAGGAAATAGTATGGAGAGATACATAATTTCTTAAGACACTGGAATTTGAAATGAAGCTCTCGATAGTCTTTCTGAAGTTTCTGTTTGCTTTTGTATTCTTAAATGAACAAGCACATGTGTGGTGACAATCTGGACGTTGCCATTACCAAATATGTAAGGCATTTAGCAGTTCATAGTGCACTGTAGCTCAAGTTTTTACATTTAACTCAAACCTGTAGGGTAGGATGATTTAAATTTATAATTAATGATGCATAAAGTTAAAATCTAACAAAACCGTAACTTTCAAATCACGGTTACATTCAGTGGGAAATTAAGTAGGCATCCTGACCACATGAAAAGTGGATCATAAAAATGAATCCTATGTAGCAGAAGCGCAGCCTCGCAGTTAAGATGCCCACATACCCCACTCAAGTGCCTGGGGTTGATTCCCGGCTCTGGCTTCCTGCCTCCAAGCTCCCGGCCAGTGCAGATCCTGGGCATCAGTGGGGATGGCTCAACTACCTGGGTTTCTGCCACCCACATGGGGGATCTGGATTGAATTCCCATGCTCTAGCCCTGCCCTGACCCTAAAGGTAACTGGGGAGTAAGCCAGAGTTATGAACACTCACCAATAAATTAGGAAACAAAGAATGAAAAACTGACATGTTTTTTAGGAGATGGGACTAGAGGAAAGGAGTGAAAACTAAAAATCTCATCTCATCTGAATTGTATGTGTTAAAATCCCAGCTACGTTGACAGCTTCACAAAACATACCTTCTTTCTGCTAACATCTCATAAAAGTCTCTGATATCTTGACCAGACTTCTCCATGCAATGATAAAATGCCAGCTGACTTTCCCGATTTGCAAAATCCACCTTTATTTAAAAAGGAAAAAAAAAAAAAAAAAAAAAGATTAGTGTTTGATGCAAATTTCTGATTTTAATGAAAAAGCTTATGGAATTTGAAAACTCTTTACCACACATCCCTTCAGAACAACTCAGGACAGCATGTACTGTGCCTGAGTGGAACGGTCCTCACAACCAAGACTACGGTTTTGTCAACTTCACCCCTCTCAAGCTACAGACAGACACTGGTAAGGAAATGTAAAGCAAAGTAGGACACTGAAACAAATCCCCACCAGACTTCTAGACTGACAATTAAACAATCTGATCAACTAGATCCAGCAATCTCTGCCTCACATAAATTTGCTAGAAACACAGTTACAACATGAAATAAACTATAGAGAGCACTTATATCCTGAATACTATGCTCTCAAACAAATCCACCACCAGACAAAAAACCATGCTTTCAGTGTTCTATCCATTACCCACTGTTAGCAGCTTGTATGTGGTGTGCATGTGCATCAGGTGCCCGAGTATTGGGAAGTATACTTTTTGGAGTGAGACGACCCTTAGGGAAGGATCTGTGGCTAATGCTTTAAAAGATTTTGTGCCCACAGAAGGCTGAGCAAAAAAAATTAATATTCCCCATAGAAACTAAGGGTGTAACCCATGTCCTGTAAACCATGCCCCTTGCTGGCGACATACAAATAAATGCGAGCTACTGGGGGAGTGAGATTTGAATATGATCTTGTTTTCACTTTGCTTAAAGTCACTCTGCACACCTTGATTTTATTGCCACCAATTTTCCTCCCCTTTGTCTCTTTTACAGCTGCTTGTGCATATTCAATTTCATTGTAGAGAACCAGGGCCATGCCTTTTAAGCGGTCAAACACCACCTGTAAAAAACAAAATGATAACCAAATAAGAGTCTCATCCACTGGACTCAGTCTCAGTCCCAACAAAATTATAAGCAACAAAGTTACTGTCAAGGGAAAGATATATATTATATATTATGCACACACATACACACATAGTTCTAGAAAAAAAATTTAGACTTTCCCTGATGATGCATACTATAGAAAACACACAATAAAATATGCAGGGGCTGTCTGGAATCGTGGATATTGTAGGTTAAGGTATATTATGCCTTAAGATATTTTACTTTGCTTCCCATGTTGACTGACCACAGTACTGTACTTAAATAAAGCATTCTTCTAGTTTTGGCACAAAAAAAGAAAAAAAATCTTGAAAAGGAAAAAAAAAATTTAAGGAATACTGAATAAAGAATTTCAGAGAATTTTGATTTGAAGTAGCATTACTGTCTTAAAGGTGCTGGCTCATTACTTATTCCAATTATCTATAAAATATGTATTTCACTAAACAACAAAACCTACACTAAAGAAATGCCAAAGTTATACAACATACCCAACATAGAGTAAATATATTTTTAAGGGGTAAATTCTTTACCTCCACAAAATGGAGGTGGACCCAGAAACCCATTTCCTGCTGTCTGTGGGCGTGGTGTGTAACAAGCATGGGTTAGATGGATATTCTGTTTGCACAAGTCCCTTTATACTCACTGTCATTCAAAAAAAAGTCTAATTATGTATTTAGCGTAAATGTAAATAAATATTTACATAAACTAATTTTAATGTAGTATAAAATTTTAAAAATTCCTAAGAATTCTATTTTATTCTATTTGTGCTATGAGAAGAGTTGGGAAATAATCAGCTAGTTCAAAAGTGTTTCAAAATATTTCCTCATATCATAAGCTAACAGATGCAACTACCCTTTTGGATCAAATGTTAGCACAGATTTCCAATGTGCTTGTTATGAAGAACAGGGAAAAGCAGCACAAAAGAAACTGGGACTAAAGGACGGAGCGGCAGGCAAAGGGAGCCGACAGCACATCCAGAGCACACGCACACCTGCCACCTACCTTCACCACAGGCCCATACCGGCAGAAATGTCGAGTTAAATACTGATCCGACACGTTCGCAGAAAGCCCATCTAACCACACGCAGTTTGTAGGCATACTCTTTCCAAAACCCAGCTGGGTATAAAAGGCAAAACTTCTATTAGTAAAGCTCATAATCACTATGCAACTCAAATCCTCAGAAAACCAGTCTTCTACAGGAATCTACATCTCATGTGGGAACCAACTGGTCAAAATCAAATAGTTAAGTTCAAAACCAGTAACCTTGCCTGGTCAACCAAGTATTAACTTAGATCACAGCATAGGATGAGGATGCAGAGAGAAGTATCACCCTCACAGTAAATGTCTCGACCAGATCTTAACTAGAAAGACACAGACACACAAAACTCACATCTTAAAAACAAAGCAAATCATAACAGCATGATATTTTATGCAAATTCACTTACCTTGAGGCGATTATTCCCAAGATATTCTCCATCCATCTTCTTAATAGCTTTACAAACACTGGCAATATCACAATATTGCAAGAATGCATACTGAGGAACTCCATTTACTTTTTTAATATCAATATCCTGAAAAAGCCAATCAATACCACTAAGCAATATGCCAACAATAAACAGAATAAGTCCATATAAGGTATTCATTTCTCAAAAATATCACATTCCCAAAATACAATTTTCTCAATTAGAATTGTACATCATGGGGCAGGTGTTTGGCGGGGCAGTGAAGTTGCCACACAGGATGCCCATGCTTGGGTCCAAACCTCAGCTCCACTGTCAATTCCAACTTCCTGCTAACAGACACCTTGGGAGGGTAGCAGGTGATGGCTGGGTCTCTGCTACCCACACCCACATAGGAGACTCAGACTGGGCTCCTGGCTCTTGGTTTTAGCCTGGCCCAGCCACAGCCGTTGCATACATTACAGGAGTAAACTGAAGGATGGGAGCTCTGTCTCCAAAGGACAAACTTTAAGTAATATATGCATTCATGTACATAACATATACAACTATAAATTTGTAGTCTAAAAAACTGACCACCACATCATTTACAGTCATAACCCATGAAATCCTTCTCATGTGAAGTTCTCCCTCTCTAGGCAGAGAAACAACTGTGTTGCAACTCAAAATTCAGACTTTAAAATCTGTAATACCAGCACTGTTCAACTTACAATACTAATGAAAAGGTAGCCTATTTAATGAAATCCCAAGAAATAATTCCCTTTTGCAATATCTAAAACCATTAGTAGGGACCAGGTGATTTAAAATATAATAGCTGAGAAGGGTGAGAGTGGTTAAGTTTTCAGAAAGTGATTTACAGGATGGGCATTTAGCCTTCCTGAGATGACCAGCTTCCATATGCCCATACGCAATTCCTAGCTCTGGCTCCTGTCTCCAGCTTCTTGCTAATGCAGGCCCTGCGAGGAAGCAGTGATGGTTCAAATAATGGGGTTCCTGTCACCCACATGGAAGACCTGGATAGCATTACCGGCTCCCAGCTTTGACCCTGGGGCCAGCCCCAACCATTGCTGGTATTTGGGATTGAACCACATGTACTCTCCACCTGTCTCTAATAAAATCTTTTTTTAAGTGATTTAAGGGGCCAAGCTTGTGTCTCAGCAAGGTAATAAGCCAGTGTTTGTGACACGAGCATCCCAGATCAGAGCAACACCAGCATTCCATATCAGAGCAACGTTTGTTTCCAATTCAGTCCCTAAGAAAGCTGTTGAAGATGCCAAGTACTCAGGCCCCTGCCAATCAAATGGGAGACTTGGATGGAACTCCAGGCTCCTGGCTTCAACCTAGACCAATCCTAGCCATTGTGACCATTTAGGGAGTGAGCCAGCAGATGGAAGACCTCGTGCTCTCTGTCTCTCCCTCCCTCTCTGTAACTCTTTCAAATAAACAGATCTTTTACCAAAATAAACAAACAAGGATTTTTTAAAAACACATACACTCCACAAAGGAAAACCCCATTTCTTTGGGATGTACAAACCCTGCAATCTCACTTGAACTCCCATCCTGCCTAGAGGAGTTGGTGGAAAATCCTGGCTTACACATGAAAATGGTCCAGAGAAACCAGTTAAATGGCAAAACACTCACATGAACAGTGTTCTGGGCCGTGTATTTCAGTCAGTGCTGTCTCCAGGGTCAACAGCCAATAATCAGAATTTGAAAAAGTCCTTGAGCGTGTACAGATCTGCTCAACAAGGCCTAAAGAAATAACACGCACGGGCCTGTGCTCTCACGTAGCAGGTGCTGCTGCTGCCGGCAGTGCCCGCATCCCAGATGGGCGCCAGTTCAAGTCCCAGCTGCTCCACTTCTGATCTAGCTCTTTGTTTAGTCTTCCATCTGGCTGGTTCACTCCCCAAATGGCCACAACGGCCACAGCTGAGCTGATCCAAAGCCAGGAACCAGGAGTTTCTTCCAGGTCTCCCAAGCCATCTTCTACTGCTTTCCCAGGCCATAGCAGAGAGCTGAATTGGAAGTGGAGCAGCCGGGGCTTTAACCGGCGCCCATATGGGATGCCGGTTTTGCAGGCCAGGGCTTTAACCTGATGTGCCACAGTGCCGGCCCCTAAACTACGGTTCTTAAAACACATCTATGTTTCCATTTTTAGCAATCTTGGTTTTGAAAATGCACCCAAGGGCCCAACTACAACTTCTTGACTGCTCAGAAATTTCACGTGGCAGCTCTATTCAGAACATGACGTCTGCGGGCAGGCATGATGCAGTGCTGGCTGAGCGACTGGAGTGCCGCTGTGAGACCCGGCTACTCCGCTTTTGATCCAACTTCTTGCTGGATCAACTTGTGCCTGGGAAGTAGGGGATGACAACTCAAGTGCTTTGGCCTGGCCCAGTTCCAGCTACTGCAGGATTTGGGAAGTGGACCAGCAGATGGAAGATCTCTGTGTCTCTGTTGCCCTGCCATTCAAGTAGAGGAAGACGAATGTTTTGCTGGTCTATTTATCTAAATACACAGCTTTTCTATTTTCTTTTTTTCTACCAACCACTTCCATTTCTTTTGCCCAGTTTGTAAAACATGTGGTTTAGTGTAAGCCACAAGCACAAAAAGACTATGTCATTGAAAATAACAAGGATCTTTTGCATAGAGCAGCAAAATAAGAATGGATAAATGGACACAGAGATACTTGGACATCCATACATACAAGCATGTACCCCTAAAGGATCAACAACAGCTGTTTCTACCTGAAACATTTTTTATTCTCCAAAGTCCAAATATGCTACAGCAATTTCTTCACTGTTAAGAGTGTCTTTTGAAGACATAAGAAGCTAATATTTTTTCAACAACAGACCAAAAGAGTATATCCCAAAGGGTACTTAGTTGTAACCAAACTATTTGCAATGTAAGCTGATTAAAGTTTTTGTCATAGGAAACAAAAAAATCCTTGCGTCCGTAATTCTAATAATGACTTGCATAATATAAAAAGTGACTCTAACTAAAACTTCAAAATAGAATTCAGCTTCCAGCACATGACATCTAATTCTAGTAAACCCCAAGACCCTTGATGTGTCCTTTGATCTCACGGTAGAGACTATAATTTGCTGCTTTTTTTTTCTTTTTTTCTTTTAAGATTTATTTATTTATTTGAAAGTCAGAGTTAGAGAGAGAGAGAAGGAGAGGCAGAGGCAGAGAGGTCTTCTATCCTCTGCTTCACTCCCCAGCTGGCCACAACAGCTGAAGCTGTGCCAATCCGAAGCCAGAGACCAGGAGCTTCCTCCGGGTCTCCCAGGTGGGTATAGGGGCCCAAGGACCTGGGCCATCTTCCACTGCCCTCCCAGGACATAGCAGAGAGCTGGATTGGAAGTGGAGGAGCCGGGACTCAAACTGGCACCCATATGGGATGCTGGCACCGCGCGGTGGCTTTACTTGCTATGCCTCAGTGTCGGCCACACTGCTGTTTTACAAATATTGTTTCTTTCTCTAGGTTTTCCTCTCAACAGACAGGACTAAAGATGAGTTTAAAACAGAAGCCAGTGGGGCCGGTGCTGTGGCTCAGTGAGTTAATGCCCTGGCCTAAAGCGCAGGCATCCCATATGGGCACCAGTTCAAGACCCAGCTGCTCCACTTCCAATGCAGCTCTGTGCTATGGCCTGGGAAAGCAGTAGAAGATGGCCCAAGTCCTCGGGCCCCTGCACCCGCATAGGAGACGTGGAAGAAGCTCCTGGTTCCTGGCTTCGGATCGGCGCAGCTCTGGCTGTTGCGGCCATCTGGGGAGTGAATCATCGGATGGAAGACCTCTCTCTCTCTCTGCCTCTCTTCTCTCTATGTAACCTCTGACTTTCAAACAAATAAACAAATCTTTAAAAAAAAAAAAAGAATATAAAACAGAAGCCAGTGGACAAAGAAAGGTAAAAGTGGATAAATATATATATATATATATATTTAAAACAAAATAGAATACATATTTTAGGTTTTTTTACATACAAAGATAGGACAGTATTTAATTAATTTCTTTCGCTCATCTTTTTTTTTTTTTTTTTTTACAGGCAAAGTGGACAGTGACATAGAGAGACAGAGAGAACGGTCTTCCTTTGCTGTTGGTTCACCCTCCAATGGTTGTCGCGGCCGGCGCGCTGCGCCGATCGGAAGCCAGGAGCCAGGTACTTATCCTGGTCTCCCATGGGGTGCAGGGCCCAAGCACTTGGGCCATCCTCCACTGCCTTCCTGGGCCACAGCAGAGAGCTGGACTAGAAGAGGGGCAACCGGGACAGAATCCAGCGCCCTGAGCAGGACTAGAACCTGGTGTGCTGGTGCTGCAGGCGGAGGATTAGCCTATTGAGCTGCGGTGCCTGCCTCCAATATCTTTTTGTAGGAGTTGAAAATACATACAACAAATGAGAAAAAAAAATGTTATTTATTTTATTTGAAAGGCATAAACAGAGATAATATTCATTATGCCTGTAAATATCATATGTCAATATGTCTGTATGCTTTACGAATGGCTGAAGTTATTTGTACTAGAGAAGCAACCTACCACAATCTCCCCAAAGCGCTGGAAGACGTTGCGAAGGTCGTGGTAAGTAGTGGTTTTCTCAAGGTTGCCAATAAAGAGAGTCCTTGTTGCTTTGGGGTGAAATTCATCTATCCTTTCATCTAAGGGGCGAAATTCATTTTCACTTTCTGTTTCTGTTAGTGGATGGGGAGAATAAAAAGAAAAAGAATTTTAATGTGTACTTATATATCATGGGAAATCTATATTTAACAAACAAGATCAGCAAAATAACATGCTTAAATATACAAATTATAACATTATAAACACCATCTCTTAGAAATAGCTATCCTTTATTAACTCAAAGCAAAAGAAAAGCTAGATAGATCTGCACAAAAAGAAAATTAAGGGTAAAGTATCACTCAGTTTAATCTCTAAGAGAAAAAGATCTGATTTCACTCTGAGCTGATTCGTTTTAGAAATCACTTACACAGAAAGATTTTAAACTCCAGCAGAACGGTACTCATTTAAGCCTTATCTTAGGTTCCAAAATTACATAGCAAGCTTTCAACGTGGATACAAAACTACAATCCCTACAATCTGAAATGCACAGAAAATCTCAGCTGCAAACAACTCAAGCTTGCATATTTAACATCATTACTTCCTGCCATCTTATAAGACGTTTAGCATTTCATGTTTCTCACGCTACTTAACGTAACAGCACAAGTGTCTAAATGTAGAAAATTTTTAAAATATTTTTATGAAAATTGGTGGAAACAATATTTATGAAAAAATATTCTTTTGGTACTGTATGGCCATCCCCAATGCCAAGCAGAAACAGGCCAAATGATTCGTAAGGTTTCTGTCTAAATTTTTATGGTTCAATTCAACCACAGCCTTTGTCTAAAGCTCCATTTATTAATTTGGTCTAGGGCAGGGACCTTCAAGGTTTTGTTGACAATAATTACAATACAATACTACACATTCTTTATCACACTCAATACAAAACCAACCCAAACATTGGTATTTTAATCGACTTCACTGAAACAAAGTACATTGAGTGCCAGCCACTGAACATTACTGATGTCAGTGACAGCGCTGACATTAAAGACAAACTGCAGGGCTCTGGAATGAATTCAGCCAGCACCCATCTCCCTGCTGAAGCCAGGCTCCAACAGCAGCTCAGCTTGGTCGTCCGAGTTCCATGAGATCGTGCACTGTCAGAGTCAGGTGGATCCAGAACCTGCCCAGGGCTCGTGGTACCTGTTCTTCATATTTTTAGCATTTCTCACAGAGATACTTTCCTTTCTATTTTTAATTCGATAGGACAGTATTTTATTTATTTTTTTTTTTTTTTTTTTTGACAGGCAGAGTGGACAGTGAGAGAGAGAGAGACAGAGAGAGAAAGGTCTTCCTTTGCCGTTGGTTCACCCTCCAATGGCCGCCGCTGCAGCCGGCGCACCGCGCTGATCCTGGCAGGAGCCAGGAGCCAGGTGCTTTTCCTGGTCTCCCATGGGGTGCAGGGCCCAAGCACCTGGGCCATCCTCCACTGCACTCCCTGGCCATAGCAGAGAGCTGGCCTGGAAGAGGGGCAACCGGGACAGAATCCGGCGCCCCAACCGGGACTAGAACCCGGTGTGCCGGCGCCGCAAGGTGGAGGATTAGCCTATTGAGCCACGGCGCCGGCTTTCTATTTTTAAAAATAGAGACTTTTCCTCTCAATTTTTAAAAGTTTTTTTTTTATTTTTATTTTTTTTTTCACTTTTTTATTTGAAAAGCAGAGAGACAAAACTCCTATCTTCTGGTTCACTTCCTAAAAGCCCACAACAGTCAGGTGGATCAGTCCAAAGCGCAATCAGGAATCCCATCCAGGTTTCCCGCGGGGACGGCAGGAACCCAATTACCTGAGCCAGCCCTGCTGCCTCCTCCCAGGTGAGCATCCACAGGAAGCTGGACTGAATACTGAGCCGGGGCTCAAACCCAGGTGCTCTGATGTTGGACGCCAGGACCCTAAACATGATCTTTGTTACCCACTGTGCCAAATGCCTGCCCTAGAAATGTATCTCATTTTAAGCTCAACTCAGTATTCTTAAAACTTAGTAGAGGGCAGACATTTAGGAAAAAATATGTCAAATACATTTGGAGTTTGTATTCAACAAGGCAGAGTCCAAAGGGCGAAGCGGAGTGCACGCTGGGCACAGTGGTCAGGATGCCACTTGGGGAGTCTGCACCCCACCCTGGAGCGGCTGCATCTGAGTCCTGGCTCCACATCTAACTCCAGCCTCCGGGCAACGCACACCCTAAGAGATGAGAAGTTTGGCTCAAAAATGTTGGTCCCTGCCACCCACAGGGGAGATCTAGATTAAGTTCTAGGCTCCTGGCTTCTGCCTGGCCCAACCCAACAACCCAACTGCTGTGAGCATTTGAGAGTGAGCCAGCAGATGAAAGATGTATCTTCTTCTGTCTCTACTCTTCAAATGAAAGAAAAGAAAAAAATGTATTTTTTAAAAGCTCTAGTCTCAATCTGACTTAAATGCTATAATAGAGGACTTCTCTTCCCCATGGAGGAAACAAAAACCAACATGGGAGTTTTCTACACAACCGAGAGTAGTCTTAGCATCCTGTTCTGCGGCATTTTCTTAAAAACAAAACAAAACAAAACAAAACAAAATTAAAGGGCAAAGCATGATTCGCAGCCATCAAAATCCGCATGATGGACTGAGTGGCACACCAGGTTGAACAGCTGCTTGAGCTGTCCACATCCCATTTCGGAGTGCTTGGCTGGAGCCCTGGTTGCTCCACTTTTGATCCAGCTTCCTGCTACTGTGCCTGTGAAGCAGCAGATGTAGGCCAAAGTGCCTTGGTCACTGCCACCCATGTGGGAGACCCGAGTGGGATTCCTGGCTCCTGCACCTGGTCTCAGCCTCGCCCAGCTCCAGCTGGTGTGGGAATTTAGCAGATGAAGCATCTCTGTCACTCTGTCTTTCAGAAAAATACATTAATTCAAACAAAAACTCTATATGGCTTCAATTTGAAGAAATAGTTTTGTAAATTTTCAAAATTGGAAATTCAATTTAGCAGAGAAAAAAAGGAGTGTTGCCCACAGGTAATCTACTTACCTTTCACAACCAGATGACCAGCCTATACATCCTGGGGAAAACCTCTTTCATGCTGTAATTTCATGTTTAGGGGATTCTAATGCTATGATCAAGGGCATTTCAAAAAAGTTCATGGAAAGTAAAGATTTTATTTTGTTGCAAAAATATTTGAAATTCATGCCTGCAGGGGGTATTCAAAAAGTTCGTGGAAAATGTGTATTATTGAAGACTATACATGGATCTCAAAGCCTTTTGGAGGAAAATAAACCTTTTAATTCCATTTTCCACCACTTTGGAAGAACCCTCATATATGACTACGAAAGTCCATGAGGGTCTCTCTGCAAAGGCAGGTTTCTTGGATTTGGATCTTTTTAATATCCTGGATTTAGATCTTTTAAAAAGGTTTTTGACCTAAGCAATCAGCACAATATAACACACTTATGATTTAACCATCCTGCAGCGTAATTCCAATCAAGTCTTCATAACCAGATTCAACTGCTTTCAAACACCCTGTTAAACCTGTATTTACTGTCCCGGGGCCAGCCGGCAGGGCTAGCAAAGCTTCGCCTTCAACAACAGCATCCCACATGGGCACCAGTTCAATTCTCAGCTGCTCCATTTCTCATCCGGCTCCCTGCTAATGGCCTGGGAAAGCAGCAGAAGAGGTCCAGGTGTCTGGGCCCCTGCACCAGCGTGGGAGACCCAGTCCTGGCTCAGTGCCATCTGGGGAGTGAACCAAAGGATGGAAACATCCCCCACCACCCGTAATTCTTTCAAAAGAAATAAATATTCAATTATTTTACAGTAAAAATTTCAAGATCTTCATTATTTTAATTGGTTCAAAAAACTTCTATATAGTATTCAGCGTATTCCTCCAGCAGTTCTGACCTCCTGAGGCTGTATTATGTAAGAACTCCTGAGTCGCTCTTAGCTCAATATAATCTAGGGCAGTACATGTCAAATGAGGTAGAGAATAAATGTCAAGGCATAATGTTTAAGTCTCTGAAGATACTTTTCCTTTAATTTCGTGCATTGCATCATAAAATTGTGCACATTTTAGAGTATTCACCTTAGTAACTCTGTGCATACTTCAGTATACAAATAACATTTTCAGTCTTATCAGGAAATTATGTTTTCCTCTAAACTGCCAATTAAAATTAATATTCCAAGAATATCTGTGTTTATCCTGTAAACTAATTAAATTCTTGGTTTTTAAAGTTGAGTTGTCTTGGATTCATACAATAACTGAAGGATTTTAATGTTTCTGCTAAATCTATTATAAATACTCACAAGTTGCCTTAAATCAGTTCTCAAGCCTGAATGTGACTTCTGAACCAGTCGCTGCGGCAGAATCAGAGCCTGCAGTTTCCAACAAGCACTGCGTAAGGCTGTCACAGAACAATCTCTGGCTGAGACAGTGACACACAGCCCTAAGATAACCTATGGACCACACCCACAAAGCTTAGCCCCTGCTTCTCTGTCACTGTCTTTGAAGGTCATGCAAGATAAACAGATCTAATTTTTGTTGGACATAATGAAAATAAAACTGGTCTAACCAGTCCCTCAAATCTGTATTAATAAGTAGTTTGCTTTCTACTTGAGACAATTCTTCTGTCATTCTCCAAGGAACTACCTCCTAATCTCAATTAATTCAATCCTCTTGGAAAGGCTGGATTCAACAAAGTTCTAAAGCTCTCGGTTTAAAAGTCAATATTCCTCCTTTATAAAACAAAAACCCTTGTCCTATCTAACTAAAATAATATTTTTATTTTTATTAAGTTGGACAATAAATGTAACTATCCTTGAAAATAGAAGACACACTGGAAGTATGTCAATAAACAGTGAGCACAGTGTCCACATTCAGGATAATATGCCACTCTCCAAAGATCACATACGTAACATGCTCTGTCTCTTACCTGGCCCTATCCATGCTGTTACTTCAATCTGCATGCCGAAGAACAGTTTTCCTTTTGATGCAGTCAGTGCTTTTTCTTGGTCCTCTTGCTGCCGAAAAAACACCAGACCATACCTTTCTTCAGAAGTCCCATGTATCTGCACTGAAGTCACTTTCCCAAATTTCTTAAATTCATGGAAAAGACCATCTTTAAGGCTTGTATCTAAATCCCCAAACAAAAACAAGATATTTATTTTTCTAAATTAATTACAATCCGATCAGCAAACCACTCAATCATTAGCATGGTTTCTGATGTTTTATTAGCATTGAAATACTACCTTTTCAAGTAAAATAATGTAAAAAAGACATTTTGTAGATGACTGTACAAATCTGAAAATAAGTCTAGGTGTTAACTGTACTACTGGTTATTTGTTGGTAAGAATGGCATTGTGGTACCCAAGCAAATGCACTTATCTTTCATAGATATACACATAATATCAAAAATTCACTTTAAAATAGAAACTTAATTTAAAAAAACAGGAACAAGAAAGGATGAAGATAACAGAAAAGATAAAACAGGAATGGCAAAATGTTGATTTTTTAATCTAAGGGGGTAGCACATATAGAGGGGAACTCATTTTGTTAATCCTTCTACTTTTTGGAAACCGTATTTCTAGCTTTCCTGGCATAATGTCAGTAAAAAAATTGTGAGGGAAGTGTCGTGTAACATGCTAACCATTAAACCTTTCACAGATGAATCAAACAAAAACACTTCAAGGGGCCATTGTTGTGGCGTAGCAGGTTAAGCTGCTGCCTGCAGTGTCAGCATTCCACATGGTCACCAGTTCAAGTCTCAGCTGTTCCACTTCTATCCAGTTCCCTGCTAGTGTGCCTGGGAAAGCACCAGAAGATGGTTCAAGTCCTTGGGCCCCTGCAGTCACATGGGGACCCAGAAGCAGCTCCTGGCTCTTGGCTTCAGATCCATCCAGGTCCGGCTGTTGTGGCCATCTGGGGTTGTGAACCAGTCGATGGAAGATCTCTGACTCTCCTTCTCCCTATCTCTGCCTTTCAAATAAATAAATAAATCTTTTTAAGCAGTAAGTGCTTAAAATCCACGCATGAACTTTCTGAAGAACTCAGACATTTAAAAAAAAAAAACTTTTATTTAATAAATACTTTTTTTTTTTTTTTTTTGGACAGGCAGAGTGGACAGTGAGAGAGACAGAGAGAAAGGTCTTCCTTTGCCATTGGTTCACCCTCCAATGACCGCCTCGGCCGGCATGCTGCAGCCAGCGCACCACGCCTATCCAAAGGCAGGAGCCAGGTGCTTATCCTGGTCTCCCATGGGGTGCAGGACCCAAGGACTTGGGCCATCCTCCACTGCACTCCCTGGCCACAGCAGAGAGCTGGCCTGGAAGGGGGGCAACCGGGACAGAATCCGGCGCCCTGACTGGGACTAGAACCCGGTGTGCCAGCGCTGCAAGGCGGAGGATTAGCCTACTGAGCCGCAGCGCCGGCCACGAAAATCCAGTTTTCCCAGCACCATTTGTTGAACAGACTACTGTCCTTGCTCCAGGAATTGGTTTTAGCTCCTTGATCAAATATAAGTTGGAGGTAATGTTTGGATTGACTTCTGGTATTTCTATTCTGTTCCACGGGTCTATCTATCTGTTTCTGTATCAGTACCATGCTGTTTTGATTATAATTGCCCTGTAGTATGTCCGCATTATGATTATTATGATGATTGTATTATATTATGGTATTATGATGCCTCCAGCTCTGTTTTTGTTGTTCACGATTTCTTCAGCTATTTGAGGTCTCCTGTGCCTCAGTATGAATTTCAGCATCATTTTTTCTATATCTAAGAAGAATAACTGGTATTTTTATATCACATTGAATCTGCTTTTGGGAGAATGGACATTTTGATATTGATTCTTCCAATCCATGAACATGGACGACTTTTCCACTTTTTCCTCTATTTCTTTCTTTAAAGTTTTTTAAATTCTCATCGTAGAGATCTTTGACATCCTTGGTTAAGTTTATTCCAAGGTATTTGATTTTTTTATAGCTATTGAGAATGGAATTGATCTTAGAAGTTCTTTCTCAGCTGTGGCATTGTCTGTGTATACAAAGGCTGTTGACTTTTGTGTACTGACTTTGTATCCTGCTACTTTACCAAACTCTTCTATGAGTTCCAATATTCTCTTAGTGGAGTTCCTTGAATCCCCTAAATAAAGAATTATATCATCTGCAAAGTGGGATAGTTTGACTTCTTCCTTCCCAATTTGCATCCCTTTGATTTCTTTTTGCCATTTTGCCTAATGGCTCTGGCTAAAATTTCCAGTACTATATTAAATAGCAATGGTGAGAGTGGGCATCCCTGTCTGGTACCAGATCTCAGTGGGAATGCTTCCAACTTTTCCCCATTCAATATGATGTTGGCCGTGGGTTTGTACCTCAGACATTTTTTAACCAAAATAAACTTGTCTTTTAATTCCATTTTCCACATTCATAATGAAAATAAAATGTATGCAAAAAGCCAAGCCTAAATTTTTACCCCCTCATCCTAAATTACCAAATAATCTTAATCAAAAACTCATCACTGGGGCTGATGCAGTGGCACAGCAGGTTAAAACCGCAGCCTGCAGTGCTGTCATCCCATATAGGCACTAGTTTGAGTCCCGGCTGCTCCACTTCTGATCCAGCTTCCTGATGTGCCTGCCTGGGAAAGCAATAGAAGATGGCCCAAATCCTTAAGCCCTACAATGGAGGCCCGGAAGAAACTCTTGGCTCCTGGCTTTGGATCAGCTCAGCTCTGGCCACTGCAGCCATTTGGGGAATGAACCAGCAGATGGAAAACCTCTCTCTCTCTGCCTCTTTGTAACGCTCCCTTTCAAATAAATATATCTATAAAATAAAAAAAAAAAAGCTCATTATTTGTGTCTAAATATCTCTTCCCAAGTCTGGTACATAAGTTTTATAGGCTACTTTAATAAATAATTAAGGCAATTAATGAAATGTATTAGCTAAAAAATGCTTATTTGGCCTTTGTTGATTTGACTGTGTACCAACACTTTGAACTTGCTTACATACTCAAGATACCTAACATAGGAATAAGAATATATTATGGTCAACTGTCAATTAAAAGTATCAGAAGACAGGTGTTAGCCTACTCTTTAAGGTACCTGTGGCTTACATCCTAGTGCCTGGATAGATTCCCAGCTCCAAATATGGGTTCCCACCACTCTTGTGGGAGATCTAGATTGAATTCCCAGCTCCCAGCTAGGGCTCAACTCCAGCTCAGTTCCTGGCTTAGGTCCCAGCTCGGCCTTAGTCTTTCCCAACATTTGAGGACTGAACTAACAGATGGAAGCATTCTCTTCTGGGGCATGAACCAGCAGACAAGTGCTAAAGCACACATGCTCTTCTTCTCAAAGGAAAATACATACACACACACCCATCAAGAGTAAAGGAGAGAGGCCGGCACTGTGGTATAGCTGGTAAAATTGCTGCCTTGTAGTGCCGGCATCCCATATGGGTGCCAGTTCAAGTCCCCGCTGCTCCACTTCCGATCCATCTCTCTGCTATGGCTTGGTAAAGCAGAAGACAGCCCAAATCCTTGGGCCCCTGTACCTGCATGGGAGACCCAGAAGAAGCTCCTGGCTTCAGATCAGCGCAGCTCCAGCTGTTGCGGCAAACTGGGGAGTGAACCAGCGGATAGAAGACCTCTCTCTCTCCTGCCTCTCCTTCTTTCTCTGTGTAACTCTTACAAATAAAAAAAACTTTTTTTTTTTTTTTAAGATTTGTTTTATTTATTTGAAAGTCAGAATTACACAGAGAGAGGAGAGGCAGAGAGAGAGAGAGAGAGAGAGAGGGAGGGAGAAGAAGAGGGAAAAGGAGGGAGGGAGGGAGGGAGGGAGGTCTTCCATCCGATGGTTCACTCCCCAACTGGCCACAATGGCTGGAGCTGCGCCAATCTGAAGACAGGAGCTTCTTCCGGGTCTCCCAAGTGAGTGCAGGACTTGGGCCATCTTCTACTGCTTTCCCAAGCCATAGCAGAGAGCTGGATTGAAAGTGGAACAAGGCTGGCGCTGCGGCTCACTTGGCTAATCCTCCGCCTGCGGTGCCGACACCCCAAGTTCTAGTCCCAGTCGGGGCGCCGGGTTCTGTCCCGGTTGCTCCTCTTCCAGTCCAGCTCTCTGCTGTGGCCAGGGAGTGCAGTGCAGGATGGCCCAAGTGATTGGGCCCTGTACCCACATGGGAGACCAGGAGGAAGCTCCTGGCTCCAGATCAGCGCGGCGCACTGGCAGCAATGCACCGGCTATAGCGGCCACTGGGGGGGGGGGGGTGAACCAATGGAAAAAGGAAGACCTTTCTCTCTGTCTCTCTCTCACTGCCTAACTCTGCCTGTCAAAAAAAAAGGGGGGGGGGGCGGACAGCCAGGTCTTGAACTGGCGCCCATGTGGGATACCGCCGCTTCAGGCCAGGTCGTTAACCGGCTGCGCCACAGCGTTAGCCCCTCAAATAAATAAATATTTTAAAAAAATTTCCATTATTCATGGCTTTTCTCATTTGAAATGGGTTTCTTATCATAATTCAACGTTCACAGTTATTTCACATATCACAGGACTCCAAGCTGACATAGCCTCTCTGGAGGAGAGGGCTGGTGGCATGGCAGTTAGGTCATCATGCGTGATGCCCACATCACAAACTGGAATGCCTGGTTCGAGTACCAGCTACTAAGCTTCCAATCCAGCTTCCTGCTAACAGGAACCATGGGAAGCAGCAAAAGATTGAGTATTTGGGTTCCTGTCACCCATGTGGGAGACACAAACTGAGTTCCTGGCTCCTGGTTTCAGCCTGGTCCAGCCTTGACTACTGTATTCATTTGGTATCTTGGGAATGAACCAGGAAAGGACAATAGATCAATACACATCTATTTCTTTCAAATAAAATGAAAATAAAAAATTTAATATTTAATCCAGAAATATTTATTCAAAAAAGAGACATGCTTTCTTCACAAGCCACCCACCATATATATGACCTTTATTTGTGTTCATGTTTATGCGTGTAACATACTTGTTACATATAAATAAAATACCATTCACCATGTAATATTTACATATGTACAAAGGTAAAAAAGTAGAAATTAAACTACATAAAGCTATAATAATTACTTATGTCATTCTTACATGGCATTAACTGTTAAGGAACCACTAAATGAAAACTGATTTTCACCACGAAATATAAAAGGCAATTGCCCAGTCTATCTCATTTCTCATTAGCAACAGTCACATAAAATATTACCTGTAGAGCGTACTGGAAGATTCTGAACCTTGATCCCAAAACTTTTACGGGGCTCATCTTTTTCCAAAGATGAAAGCAGCTGGGAAGTGGGTGCTGGGACTGCGGCAGACTGAACGGATCGGGCTGGGGAGGCGTCACTTGAGCTACTACTGGAATCGCTGCTGCAGGAGCACAAAGAATAACAAACTTCAGCTAAAGAAACAAAGTGAACAGCACAGAAACAGTCTTAAAATTAGCAAGTAGCAATAATCACACATCTAAACTTCAGGACTGGAATTCCTGGAGGCCCTACATTTTCCACATCTATCTCACACACTCCATCATCAGAGATAACAGATGACGAGATACACTGGCCCAAGTACCTGGAAGCAAAGGGAACCACATGTACCTAAAGGCAAATGTTATATTCCATGAATAATCTGCACCATTTTTTCCCAAATGAAACAAAATTAATGAATGTAATTCACTTATGATAATAATGGGTTTTCAATTCACAGATCTACATTCAAATTGTGGCTCAGACATATAACACATATCCTTGGACGAATCAGTTAATTTCTTGCTAAGGCTCAGTTTCCACCTCTGTAAAATGGATAGGTGCCTACCTCACAAGAATTAAATAACACACAAGCTTAGAGATTCCGCAATGTGAAATGTGTTTGGCAAATGAAGCACTACTCCACTTCCATTATCAGAAAAAGTACTGTATTACTAATATTAATAACAGTACTATTATTAGTAGTAAAATTACTATCACATCATGGGTAAATTACTTTTTAGGAAAACAGAGATCCAAAATAATCTAAGAATCTGGATTTTAAATTTTTTTGAAGGACTGGGGCTGGCGCTGTGGCGCAGCAGGTTAAGCCACAGCCTGCAGCACCGGTGTCCCATAGGGGTGCCGGATTGAGTCCCAATTGTTCCATTTCCAATCCAGTTCTCTGCTAATGCACCTGGGAAGGCAGTGGAGGATGGTCCAAGTACTTGGGCCCCTGTATACATGTGGGGGAGAAGCAGCTCCTGACTTCAGCTGGCCCAGCCCTAGTCATTACAGCCATTTGGGGAGTGAACCAGTGGATGGAAGGTCTGTCTCTCCTCCTGTGACTCCGCTTTCAAATAAATAAACAAATCTTTAAAAGAAAAAATTTTTGAAGGACTAATGAAGAAACATGTAAGTAACTTAAATCTTGTTAGCTTGGGCCTTCTTCTCTGTAGATAATGTAGAAAGTATGTTAATGAAATTAAATTTATTATTCTCTTCCATTTAATTAAAAAAAATATCCTCCAAGGGAGAGAAAGTCAACTGACAGACTAGAAAATGTTACCCTATACATGCAAATTAAGAGAGAGATTTAAATAAATAATATTGTTATGCCTAAAAACCATGTAAGTAACATACAATTTTACAGTACTGGATGTACAAGACTGTTGTGGTTCTAAGTTCTTTTACAATATTATCAAATAAATCAACTAAAAGACTATTTTTTAAAAAGATTTATTTATTTATTTGAAAGGCAGAGTCACAGAGAGGCAGAGAGAGAGGTCTTCTATCCACTGGTTCACTCCCCAGATGGCCACAACAGAAGCCAGGAGCTTCTTCTGGGTCTCCCACTCAGGTGCAAGGACTCAAGGACTTGGGCCATCCTCCACTGCTCTCCCAAACCATAGCAGAGAGCTAGATCAGAAGTGGAGCAGCTGGGACTCAAATTGGCACCCATACAAGATGCTGGCATCACAGGCGGTGGCTCTACCTGCTACACCATAGCACCAGTCCCCTAAAACACTGAAATTTTGTTTTATAATCTCCTTCCTGAAGCCTCATCTTTCAATCAAGTTACTGGGAGGTTAATGCATCTTAAACATGCTAGCTGGAGGAAAAGTCCCATGGTGGTTTCTGTCATTTGCTTAAGACTACAGCTCTCATTTACAGGACAATCACAAAACCATCCAAAAGAGTTCAGGCTTAGGTTAGAAAAAATTTGCTACTTTTTTTTTTTTTTTTTAAGAAAATAAAAAAATTAGAGTAGCTATTTGGTTCAGTGATTAACACAGGTTAAGATGCCTGCATTCCACATCAGAGTACTTGGGTTCAATACCCAGGCCCCAGCTCCTAACTCCAACTTTCTGCTAATGCAGATCGTGGGAGGCAGGAGCAGTGATTCAAGTACCTGGGTTCCTACCACCAACATGGAAGACCCAGAATGATTTCCCAGCTCCTGCTTCAGCCTGGCCCAGTCCCAGTCAACGCAGGCATTGAGAGTGAACCAGTGGATGGGAGCTCTCTGCCTTTCAAATAAATACATTTTTAAAGTACTATCAAGAGTTCTGTTATAGAAGATTAAAGATGTTTACAGAAAACCAGGAAATTTACACAATATTTTAATTTAGTTAATATGTTAAAGAGATGAGGGGCCGGTGCTGTGGTGTAGTGGGTAAAGCTACCACCTGCAGAGCTGGCATTCCATATGGGTGCCATTTCTAATCCAGCTCTCTGCTATGGCCTGGGAAAGCAGTAGAAGATGGCCACGTCCTTGGGCCCCTGCACCCGTGTGGGAGACCCAGAAGAAGCTCCTGGCTCCTGGCCTCAGATCAGCCCAGCTCCAGTCATTGTGGCCATTTGGGAAGTGAACCAGGAAGACCTCTCTCTCCATCTCTGTATAGCTGTGCATTTCAAATAAATAAATAAATCTTTAAAAAAAAGAAAAAAGATGAACATTTCATGAGGTTTTCAGAACTTTACACAGCTTGAAATGCAGAGAGACAAACCTATTTCAGTAGCAATTCTAAAGAGGTAACTGAGCTACAAAACACAAACTACAAGGGATAAATCCCTGAGATACAAACACAAGTTATAACTGCCCGTTCTACAATATTAGGGTTCACTTTTCCCATTTATGAAAAAAAGTTTTTTTTTAGATCATAGTCTAGCAAAAGCCATGTTATTACAGCACTAAGTAAACAGGATCCTAATAGTAAATTGTCACTGAAATGGTTAACAAAATTAATCCATATTTTCAGCACAGAAGAAAAAATTTTTATACAAAGGTACTTCAAAAAGCTCTTGGAAAAAAGGGAATTAAAAGATTTATTTTGGTACAAAACAATTTTTGAAATTCATGCAGTTTTTTCTTAATATGCAATTTTTATGAACTTTCTGATGATCCCTTGTATGTAGGTATTTCAATTTTTAACACCAAAAGTTTTAAAAAGTTTTCATTACAGTACCAGTATTACATACTCCAGAATTCCTTAGCAACAGAGGCTACAGAAGTAAATACGCTTATGTTAAGAGCAGAATTCCTGGCTACTGGCTATTGAAATAATACAATTTCTCTGTAAGTCTGTATGATTAAAATAAAGAGGAAGATGATTAGGTAATGGTAATGATTACTTTAAAATAAAGTGAAAAACAATGATAGAAATTTGAAACCAGGGAACGCGCTGTGGTGCAGTGGGTTGGACCACTACCTGAGCCCAGGTACCCTTATATGGGCGCTGGTTAGAGCCCAGGCTGCTCCACTTTGGATCCAGCTCCCTGCTAACGTGCAGGGGAACATGGTCCAAATCATTGGGTTCCTACATCCAACATGGGAGACCCGACGAAGTTCCTGGCTCCTTGCAACCATCTGGGGACTGAATCAGCAGATGGAAGCTCTCTCTTTCTGTGTATCTCTCCTTCTACCTCTTTCAAATAAACCAATAAATAAGAAAGAAATTTGAAACCTGATTACACTTTTCCTAAGCACATTTTCAAAGACATTAAGTCTGAATTATACATATTTGTTTATAATTTCTAAGTAACATTATTAAGAAAACTAAGCAGATCTGAAAAAAATGTCTATAGTGGACAAGCACAAAAATAAGCAGCAGGCTCATAATAATTTTTTTTTAATTTTTTAAAATTTTTTTTCTATTTATTTATTTGACAAGTAGAGTTATAGACAGTGAGAGAGAGAGAAACAGAGATAAAGGTCTTCCTTCCGTTGGTTCACCCCCCCAAATGGCCGCTACAGCTGGCACTGCGCCAATCCAAAGCCAAGACCCAGGTGCTTCCTCCTGGTCTCCCATGTGGGTGCAGGGGCCCAAGCACTTGGGCCATCCTCACTGCCTTCCTAGGCCACAGCAGAGAGCTGGACTGGAAGAGGAGCAACCAGGGCTAGAACCCGGCACCCATATGGGATGCCAGCGTGACAGGCGGAGGATTAACCTAGTGAGCCATGGCGCCGGCCCATAATAATAATTCTTGATAAACAAACAACACAGGATGCTAGGATTCTTATAAACCATTCTCCTTGTCTTGGGGGGGGGGGGGGGGTTGGCTATCACTTAGAGGAAGCACATTGACCCTGGCAGGCGGTGTGGATGAGTGCCCCTGCCAGGACTCTTGGGTCTCAAGTGCCCATACCTCATCTCCAAGCACCCTCCAAGTGTGGGTTTTATGTCCCCCTGAGATTGAATATCTGCTGCAAATGTCACATAAGAGTATGGAAGTAAAAGAATATTTATAAAAAAAAAAAAAAAGGATTCTTATAAACCAAATCACATCTGATAATCAGCTACTCCTGTTCTCACAGTCACGATGTGAACAGTTAACTCTACTGAAAATGTCAAGGCACTGAGCACTACTGACGAATCAGGGCTGTGTTTGTTCACATACAAGAGTGATGACCAAGGAGTGACCTGCATTCTGTGTCCTTGTATCATTTGTAAATATTTAATTATCACAAATATGCATCTGTGTTGGTTTTCCTGAAGTTGGTAAGTTAAAAAGTATCCAATCAAATTGTGAAACAAATAATCTGGCACAAATCAATTTTTTAAAAAGCAACAGGAAAATTTTGCAGTTAAAACAGACTACCCATTTGTTGGAAGGAGAAGTGACAATTTCCCTTCCCAATGGGAAGTTAATATTTTTTCTCACTTCATAACCAATATTTATATAAGGTTAGGTCGAGAGAAAAAATATGCAATTTTATTTTCTATCAGGCTTGGATAATTCAAAATGTGTCCACCAGTCTTCAGATTAGGCAAAATAATCACCTACTTTCCTGAATGGAACACATCAACATACCAGCTAATTCTACTATATCCTGTTATTTACAAACTAAAATTGCATCTTTTTAGGGCAGCAGCTCTCTAAGTGTGGTTTAAGGACCTGTGG